ACGGTGGGGCCTGGATCTGCAGAGTGTGCCCTCGACTGTGTGATTAGCTTCTGCACTTTTCTGGGTTTGAACAAAGGGCGGGGGAGGAGCGGAAGCGGCAAGAAAAGAGAATATTGTGCTTTGTTTTCTTTCCTGAATGCAAACCTGCCCAAACCAAGCTTCATTATTTACTTGTTTATTTATTTTTTGGGGCAGGGGGTATTTGTTCCCTTAGTTAACAGCAACCATAAAAACAGAGGATTTCCATGAGGACGTTCAGCTAGTATGCCACCCCTGATTCTAGCCCCAAATAATTGACCAGATGGCCTTTTGTAACTTCTTTCAAAAGTAAAGTTTTCTAGTCTACCCTTGATTTCATGGGGGACACATTAGTTGCAAGAAAAGTTTTGTGTACAGATCAAGCTACTAACGTCTTATTTTTATTCCCCTTCCAAAAAAAGAAAATAATTGTGTACGATTTATTTGGCAAAGCCTAGGTCAATCAACTCCCACCAGATATGGCCAGATAAGAAGAGGACACTCTGAAGAGCCCATAGCTAGCCTACCGGCCCGTTTGGGATGGACATTCTGAGATATTTTCTTTGTATTTCCTTGAGCACACATTTAATTTTATTTTGATTTTTTTTAATGTGTGTATTTTCACTTCTAGACTTGTAGTCTCACAAGGACAAGCCCTAGGTCCTTTCATTTTTTTTGCTTTGGTTCCAGAAACCGAACAGGCTGATTTGCTCTCCCCACCCTACCTCTACCCTCTATTTCCAGCACAGAGACGTATTGGATAAAATAGCCTATCTGGACTCAAAAGAGAGAAATGGAAATGCCCAGCTGCTAGAAAACAAAGAACTTTACATCCAAGCATAGCAAACTCAAGAGCTGATGTGGTGATGGAGAGGGCTGCTGGACTGCTTGTAGACACCAAGGCCAGGGGCTAGGATTTGAATGCCCACATGGGGACAGGTCTTTGTGTCCATGTGAGGCTCTGAGAAGCTGCATAAAGCCTCGACACTGAATGAGCTGGCCCCCAAGAAAGGCCAACAGGCCCCGGGCATGCAGCAAAGAAAATGAACTTTACCCATGGCTCCCGAGCACTTCGTAGACCTTTGACTGCCCTGAATTTTCTTTGTAAACCTCACCCAGAATTGGTTCTGGGGATGTATCAGCTAGCATGAAAAAGTCTCTGTCTTCAAAGAGCTGCCAGCCTGGCTGGGGAATGACTTTCACTGTCAATGATTATCATTCAGGGTGACAAGTACAGGGTGCCATGAGTGTAAAAAGGATATAAACATAGCAAGGGCTGAGAGATTATGAAAGGGCAGGTAAAGAAGGTAGGAGAAGCACATTTTAGTCAAGAAAATGGCATGGAATGTATCTAACTGCACAGACAATTGTGGAAAATGCAGGTGGTGTTGTATCAGATAATGATGGATGGGAACAGATGGTGTGAGGGGCAGGGGACAGGAGGGACGGAGGTGAGGCAGAGAGGTGGGCAGGGGCCAGGTCAGACCAGGCCTTGTGTGCCTGGCTAGGAGCCTGGATTTCACCCTGGGCCATGAGAGGGGCCAGAGCAGGCCTGTCGCTGCTGCCCTGCCTGTGTCCCGGGGAGAGCACATGAGAAAATATTCCTCTCTGTTTTGTGCGCTATGGAGAAATGTGGGAAGTGGGGGAAAGCGAGAGTCCAAGGTGAGAATGATGCCCCTTAATTGGGTAACACTCTTCTTAGCTACAGTTGCTCCGTGTCTCAACAGGTGATGAGATTCTAGAACTCAATGGTGAATCGATGGCTGGACTAACACATCAGGACGCTTTGCAGAAGTTCAAGGTGACTGTTTCTTATCAACACATGGCCACACACTCTGGGGCCTTCAGGCGAAGGCACCAGGATCCCAGCATCAGCCTCCTCCATCCAAACCTGCAAATTCAAAATGTGGGATCCTTACACAGGACACCCAGCTGATGCTGATGTTGGCACCGTGTTAAAAGAAGGCCTCACTCAGAAAATAATGTTGTAATCGGGATTGCTGTAGGGGGATTTTTAAACTATTTAAGATTTAAAACTGTTTTAAAACATTCTGTGTGTTCATATTGTTACATTTGCAAATCTGTTTTCAGTTTTTAAGACAATCACTAAAAGATATTTTTGAGTCTCCATCTAGTTATAGTTAGTTCTGTTTAAGACTTATCTAACTACCTATCTATCTACCTACCTGTCTGTCTATTGATCTATCTATCTGGTATATATATATATAGCATTTATGTACACATATGTGTCATATATATGATGTCACATATATGAATGTATGCACATGTTTATATAACATGCAGACACACACACACACACACACGCACGCACGCACGGCTGCATTTCCTTAAAAAGTATTTTACTTCTGTTACTCACAGAGGCCGGTTTCCTTCGCCCCCACTGAATCGCTGTGGGGCGTTGTAGCACTCTCTCTCTTTCCTTCTAGCAAGCCAAGAAGGGGCTTCTCACCCTCACCGTGAGGACCCGCCTGATGGCACCGCCCTCCCTGTGCAGCCACCTGTCTCCCCCTCTGTGCCGCTCTCTGAGCTCCAGCACTTGTGCCACCAAGGACAGCAGCTCCTTTGCCTTGGAAAGCCCCACAGCTCCCGCCAGCACCGCCAAGCCCAATTACAGAATCATGGTGGAGGTTTCTCTGAAGAAAGGTAAGAGTGCTGCCTGCTGGAGGACCCCACCCTCCCCCACGCTCCTGCCTGGTCTCCCGCCATGGGCTGGGTCTCCCAGGCTTTCCTCATTTGGAATCAGTCCAGGGCCAGGGCAGGATGTTGTCTACTAGCAGACTTTATGACTATTGTTTGGCTGCGTTTGGCAACAAGGTCTAGTCCTCTGTTTATAGAAGCTCAAACCCAGTCAATGTGTTTTGGTGCAGTGGTTTAAATAAACCAAAACAAAGCAAACACAAATCACACACGAAACCACACACACAGAAACAATGGGCTGGGAGTTGTAGCTCTGCAGCCAACATGCTAAGAGACCTTGGGCAGGTCACTTACCCTCTCTGGGCTGCTGTGGCAGGAGAATCAAGGTCCTTTCTAGTTCTGACATTCGGGGATCGACAGCCATTCTCTTTGCTCCCCAGGTGGACTGCTAATTCAAGAGGGCTGGGGAGGTCCTCTCTGCCAAAATGCAACTGAGCTGAGACCTGAGGGATGAAGAGGAGCAGTTAGGAGCAGAGCTGGGTTCCAACAGAGGGACCAGCACATATTCTAGGAACAGAGGGAGGCCAGTGTGGCTGCGGCAAGGCAGGCAGGGTGGGGGGTGATGTTGGAGCACTTGGCAGAGACAGAGGGACTGACCTTCTGTGGCTCTGCAGCTCGATTCTCTTCTAATTGCAATTGAAAGTCCTTTAAGGACTTCTGAGCAGGAGAGTAACACATCAGCTTATGCTTTAAAAAATGACTCCTATGTTTCTCTGTGGAGGATGGCCTGTAGTGTGACAAAAGTGGGGCTCAGAAACCACTTGCAGCAGTTCAGGGCAGAGGAGGGGAGTGGTGAATTTGGGGAGAAGTGGGCAGGTTGAGATATGTTGCAAAGTGGAAGGAAGGGGGTGCACGGTTAATTCCTTGCCTGAGGCTTTGCCCAATGCATGTCTCAGCTTCCCTGTGGGTCTGGAGCTCCCCGAGGCCTCAGATGCCTTCGTGTGCCTCCATGGCTGGCTCAGCACTTGGCATGAGGACTAGGTGCACACAGGTCTGTGCCAGCACGATGCCGACAGCTGTGTGCAGGGCTCCTGTAGTGAGTTTCCTGAGCGGTGTGAAATGGGAAAGACAGGGCCTCCAATTGGTGTTGCCTCTGATCCCTGGCATCAGAAACACCGCAGGGAGGCTTCTTGTGTGCTTGTTTTATACGACGCAGCTGCTTAGACACTAACCCCAGAGGTTTTGCTTCAACCGTGTTGGGGGTGAAGCCTGGGGATCCACATGTTACATAAGGACCCCAGGTGAGTCGGATGCCCGCCAGGCTGAATAATGCTCGCTCTTGTCAGGAAACCTGGGCTCCAGGCAGGGCTCTGACCTTTGTTCGTGGGCCATGTCACAGTCAAAGTCTTATCCATAAAATAGGGTTGCTGACAATTGCCCGTGGCACCCCTCATGGGTCTCTTGGGAGCATGGGCATCAAAAAGTGAAAACTTTCATGAGAGTGTTTTGTAAATTATATGGGCCAAAAGAAAACAGGGAGAAGGTCTTTCTCCTCCCCCTGATCACTCCTTCTGGTCCTCCTTGGCCACTGCTCCTCATTTTCCAGGCCCTTCCTGTTGGTGAGCCCGGGGCCTTCCCTTCTACCCACTCTGGGGGACCCCACCAGCCCTGTGGCCCTAACACCACCTACATGCTGCTACTTTCCAACTCTTAACTTCCGCCCTGCTTTCTCCCCGGGCTCCAGACTCACCTGTGCACCTGCCTCCTGCATGCGTGCACTTGGGTACCTCATGGGCATCACAGTGTAACTCAGGTAAAACTGGACACCCGAGCCTCATGCTCGCAATCCCGGTCCTCCGTAGCCGCCTCTGTGCTGCTGAACCGGATCCTCATCCACCCAGTTACTCACGTCAAAAACCTGAGTTATTTTGATTTTGATTGATTAAATCCCTGTATGTCATCCCTCAGCAAGTCTACCTTAAATATGTCCCACGCACACCCATTTCTGTCCATCTTCACTGGGGGCGAAGGCCAGAACCATGTGCTCGTTTCCACTCTTGACAGCCCGCAGCTCTTTCCCCTCGCAGCGGCCAGACGTACTTGCAAAATCAAACTAGATCGTGTCACTCCCTTGTGCACAACTCTCCCGTGGCCTCCCTTCTCAGTGGGGAACAGCGTCTTCACACTGATACACCCTTGTGTACAAAGCCCCCTTAACCTGGCCTTTGGTCCCGCTCCGTCCTAGCCTCCTGCCACTCTCCCGGGAGAGCTGTGTTCCGGCCACAATAGCCTTTCTGGTCCTGTGACATGGCATGCTTCCTTTTGCCTGTGGACCTTTGCATCAGTTGTGTCTGCTTCTGGGATATTTTGCCCCATCTCCTCATCCCTGGATCCTTATGTCACCATATTTTAGCCTAAATGTTGTCTCCTCCGAGGCTTGAAACAGCCATCCCAGCACTTTCTCGCACATTCCTCATTAATTCTCCCTATAATGCTTATGACTCTTTGGTAGCTTCTTTCCTTCTCATCTACCCATCTCCCCCCCTCCGTCCTTCCTAGACTTTCCCCACTTGAATTCAGTATCCCTTGTCTGCCTTGACCACTGTTCTGAGCCTAGAGCTGTGCTGGCTCACAGCAAATGCTCCATAAATAAGCGTGGAATGAAAGCCATAATAAATAGGGGACACCAACTGATCTGTGACAGAGCTTGAGGCACCTGACAGACCCGCACCAGGTCTCCCCACCCCACTCCACTCTGCTTTCCAGAGGCTGGCGTTGGCCTGGGCATCGGCCTGTGCAGCGTGCCCTACTTCCAGTGCATCTCGGGCATTTTCGTTCACACCCTGTCGCCGGGATCTGTGGCACATCTGGATGGACGACTCCGGTATGTCCTTACTTCTGTCTTTGAATAAACCCCTGACTTACAACAGAGAGAAGGCATTCCTTAGACTGCCAGGAGGTTGATTTGGAGGGAAGATATTTAGAATGATTCGGGTGTGGCTCAAGCCTTGTTCCTCAAAGTGTGGTCCCTGGACCTGCAGCACCAACATTTCTTGGGAGCATGTGAGAAATGCAGAATCTCGGATGGCCTACCCAGCCCTGCCGAATCAGAATCTGCATTCTGACAAGGTCTCCAGGGGTCTGTATGCACATCACAGTTTAGGAAGCATGGTCTTAGAGAATACCAGTCCAAAATAGAAAACACGAAGTAAACATTTTAATTCAGATTTAACTAATATAGAATTTATAGTGACGTAAGTAGGAGTTTCGATGAGGCTTACCTGTGAACTCTATATGGAAAAAGCAACTTCCTAAACAAATTAGTGGTGTTGATAGTTTCTTGCTGGCAATATATATTTTTTGGCACTCCAGATATATTTATTTACAAATAACTTCTCAGAGAAGTACAAATCTAAATTTTCTTTCCAATAAGTGACCGGAATTTGGTAAAAACATTTCATTGCAGGTTAACTTCTTACAATACTTTTTACTCACTCCATCATTTATGTGTTGTGCAAATATATGAAGATACCTCAAAAAGTTCATGGAAAGATTCATATTATCTCTTAATTCCATTTTCCCACAAACTTTTTGAAGTACCATCATATCAAACCCCCACTGGGTTTGAGTTTTGCTAAATCAGGAGAGTTTGGCCATATTTTTGAAGGTTTCCCTGTAATTGCAGTATATGGAAGGGCAACCCTGCTTAAGAAGCTATGTTGATGGAGCTTCTGAATTAGAAATGGATTTGCTGCGGTCATCTGTAGGAGGGTGACAGGTGAGGTGCTGAGCAGCTGTGCTGGTCTTTGGATGTAACTGCAGAGTCGTGTTGATGGAGCTTCTGAATTAGAAATGGATTTGCTGCGGTCATCTGTAGGAGGGTGACAGCTGAGGTGCTGAGCAGCTGTGCTGGTCTTTGGAGGTAACTGCAGAGTTGCAGTGATTGCCTTAGTCCTAATACCCTCAGACAGAGAGTGCCTCCCTCGTAGACCTGCAGAGGGGTAAAATTGTTGTGGAAGCTTTGCTTTCCTCGGCACTGGTCCCCTATGAAAGTGGTCTTTAGTTACATCAGCAATAACAGGTACTCAATTAGCAAGGGTGTAGGGGGACGAACCCAGCAGACCACAGCAGGAGGAACAGGGAAATCAACACTAGGAGACCTGAGTTCCAATCCTGGCCCTGCTGATAACCAGCTAGGCCAGAGATCTGCAAGCTGGGGCCTATCACATTTTTGTTTTAAATAAGTTTTATTGGAACAAAGCCATGCTCATTTTCTTCTGTGTTGTCCATGGCTGCAGCTGCCACTACAGCAGCAGAGTTGAGTGGCTGCGATGGAGATAGTATTGCAAAGTATGCAAAGCCTGAAATGTTTACTATCTGACCTTCACAGAAAAGGTTTGTGAATCCCTGAGCTAGGTCTTGTCAGAGAAATCACTCACCCTGTGTGCCTCAGTTTCCTCATCTATGATGGGGAAGGGGGTTGGATTGTACAAATCTTCCATGTATCAATGTGACCCTATCTTTCCTACCTTTTTTTCCCCATTCACAGCTAGAATGAACTCTATCACCTTCTCTCCTTATTTCTTTTTGCAAGAACCTCAACTGTCCTCCCACCCAGTTACTTCTGCTTTACCTCATAGCACATGTAGGATATTAGGTCCAACATTTAACATCCTATACATGCTATGTTATATCCAATTCTTCCTCTTAACTATTTTACTTATGGGAACACTGAAGCCCCAAAACAGGATGTGATGATTCAAATCATGATTAGTTGGTTAAACCAATTAAACCACACCTAATTCTTCCTCTTAACTATTTTACTTATGGGAACACTGAAGCCCCAAAACAGGATGTGATGAGCCAAATCATGATTAGTTGGTTAAACCAATTAAACCACACCTTCAATCTTGACTGGGCATAGTTAAATGGGAAAGGAGGAGGAAAGTTACAAACTTTTGTTAATTTTGGCCCACTGTAGGGATGACATATCTTTTCACTTTGTGGTCATGCAGTGAGGGGGTGAGGGATGGGCTGCTTTGGCCTGCCCTGCTCTGAGATGTGGTCAGGTGGCTAGAGAGGTCTGTCACTGATGTGATCTTTAGGTCTCATCAAGCAGCTCAAGGAGAGGGCCCCCAGGGAGGCAACTGTCCTAATGCCGGTTGATTAACTTTCTGATGATTTCCCGTTGATGCTTTTGCAGGTGTGGTGATGAGATTGTGGAAGTCAATGATTCTCCTGTGCACTGCTTGACTCTTAATGAAGTCTACGCGATCCTGAGTCACTGTGATCCTGGTCCAGTACCCATCATTGTTAGCCGACATCCAGACCCCCAGGTAACACTGTGGCTGAGTTATCCTCTTCTTCCCAGGCTCACTCTTTCAGTACCAAAATTGGGACAAGAAATGGATAAAAACAGAGATGTTGCTGGCTGGGTTTGGACCTGAATTCCCAAGAATCTGTTCCAAGTTTCTGTGGATAAAAGTGTCTACAACAGGGGTCCACTGACAACTCCTAGACTTCAGAAACAATTGGCATTAGCTTAGGAAAGCTCTTGCAGCTGAATTACAAACTCTGGGGCAGTAAAATAAAGACCCAGCCTCCCATCTAGTAGATGCAAGAGATTCATTTATTCATGCGTCTAGTGGGTTCCCACTGTGGGAACGTCTGGAGCTCTGAGCACTGAGCATTGAGCACTGAGGATACAGAGAAAAGTGAGTTCGTAGTACACAGCCCTGCCCTCCAGAGGCTCATGGCCTCAATAAAGAGGCTGACATAGAAATAATTGCAATACAAAGAGGTGAGTATTATAAGAATACAACGATACAGCAGGGAAGGATTTATAAAGCAAGAAATACCATAGGTTAGTTTTCCCAGGCAAAGAATTTGAAGAAGATCATTCCTGTCAGTGGGAACACAAAATTCAAAGTTAGAGTTATGAAAGGACCTGCCATGGGAGGAGAGTGGTAGGTTCTGTGGGGCTGGGATATAGGGTACTAGGCGAAAGTGACTGAGGATTGGGGTTGGTGAGGCACTGGGGTTACATCATAAGGGGCTTTACGCAGGATGCTAAAGTTTGCATTTTATTCTGTGGGTGGTGAGAAGCTGTGGGAGGTCTGTAGCTATAGATGTAACATGTTTTATTTCTTTTCTAACCTTTGATCGCAGTGTAGAGGACAGGATAGAGTGGATGGAGTGTGGAGTTTGTAAGAGGAAGGAAAGAAACAGTGGAGGCCTGAACTAAACAGAACACGTGGAGAGAGAATAGAGAAGGCCACCAGGAGGCAGCACTGGGCAAGAATCAACAGCATCTGTTGGCTGGTTAGCTTTGGGGTAAGGGAGCGGGAGGAGCCTAGGACCACCCAAGTATTTTTGGTAGGAAGACCAAGTGACGGTAGCCACCAGTACAATGGAAAATAGAAGAGGGCTTGGGAGGGAAGAGAATGACCCAAGTGTGGGACACAATGAGACTAAGGTGCCCGTGGGACGTCCAGATGGAGATGCCTGGTAGGCAATTAGATTCCGGGCTACTAATGACTGTGAGTGAGATCCAGGTGGACTTAGACTTGGGCATTGAAGCCGTGGCATAGGTGAGAGTACTTTGGGGAACGTGATGATAATCACCCCTTTTATTTATTTAATCCTTAGGGTGTGCCAGGCATATTTACCAAAGACATGACATATGCAACTGCATTTACTTGTCATACAACCCCCAGAAGTCAGTGTAATTTTTTTCCCTCCAATTCATGGATGAGGAAACTGAGGCTTAGAAGGGAAAAGAAACTTGCCCCATGGTGGAGGTGCTAAGTGGAGAAGCTAGGATTTAAATCCATGAAAGCCTGTGCTCTTAACTTACTGACTCCCAAACCTGCAGTGAAATAGACGGAGAGAACAGAAGTAATGGGGAAGAATGACGTATACTTTGTGTGCTGGGATTCGTGCCCAGCCCTGTTTAGTCATTGCACATGGAGGTTAAGCACACTAGGGACAAGCAAACTTCTTACTTAAGGTTAAAAAAAAAAAATTGGCCTAAATCACTGGTGATAGAAGAAAAGAAAGGGGTCCCAACCGCTTTACCAGTGCCTCTTGCTGCAGTGGACTAACAGGTGGGACGTGGGGCACGTGCTGGCCTTGAGGAGCTTGGTTCTGGCTGGGGAGATGGGACATACTCAGAGAGGCCACAGGAGGTGAGGGCTTGGGAGTGAGGGAGTTAGGGTCCTAGCTGCTCAGACGAGGGAGCCAGACCAGAAAGGACAGGTAGAGTTTGGAGTGGCAGAAGGCAAAGGTACCCCGGGCAGGGGGGACCCAGTGGGAACAGGCATCAGGACAGAGAGGAGAGCCCTGGGCTTAGCATCAGAATGCCTGGCCCGCGTCCGGTCTGCTACTTACCTACGGTGACCTTGGGCAATTCATCTGACCTCCAGGAGCCTCTGATCTCTCAACTCTGAAATGGGGGACTGGTCCTTGTTGACTGTAATTCTTATCTATTGAGAGTTTACCATTCGTCAGGCATTGTGTCCAGCACTTTCAATGTTTTATTTATGTATTCTTGTTGTGATAAAATACACGTAACATAAAATTTACCATCTTTGCCATTTTTAAGTAAACGGTTCAATGGCATTAAGTACATTCACATTGTTGTGTAACCATCACCACCAACCATCTCCAGAACTCTTTCCACCTTGCAAAATTGCAACTTTGTATCCATTAAACAACTCCCTATTTCCCCTTCCTGGTAACCACCATTTTATTTTCTGTTTTTACGATGTTGACTGCTCTACGTACCTCATATAAGTAAACTTTTGTGACTGGCTTATTTCACTCAGCATAATATCCTCGAAGTTCAACTACGTTGTACCATGTGTCAGAATTCCTCCCTTTTTAAGGCTAGTCATAATCCATTGTATGTATATAGCACGTTTTGTTTACCATCTGTATTAGTCTGTTTCTGTTGCTTATAACAAAATATCTGGAACTGGGTGATTTGTAAAGAAAACAAAATTTATTGCTTACAGTTTCTGAGGCAGGGAAGTCCAAAGTCCATCTGGTGGTGGTGACAGTGACCCACGGGTCTCACATTGCAAGATGGTGGAAGCAGAGAAAGCAAAGAGATAGTCTCTCTTTCTTCCCTTTTAAAGCCCTCAGAACCACGCCCCTGACCACCGTCCTTAATTCATTTACTACTGCACAGCCCTACAATCCAATCACCTCTTCAAGGCCCCACCTTTCAATGACCATAATAGGATTTCCCACCTTTTTAACAGTCACAGTGGGGGCCGAGTTTCTAATACATAAAACTTGGGGGACACAATTCAAGCTGCAGTGAGTTTTGGGGGGACATAATTCAGTCCACTACACCATCTGTTGGTGAATATTTGAGTTGCTTACACCTTTGACTACTGTGAATAATGCTGCGATGAACATGATGTGCAGACATCTCTTTGAGGTACTGATTTCAGTTCTTTTGGGGTATATGCCCAAAAGTGGAATTGCTGGCTCTATTTTTAATTTCTTGAGAAAGCTCCATACTATTTTCCACAGTGGCTGCACAGTTTACATTCTCATCAACAGTGCACAAGAGTTCCAATTTCTTCACATCCTTGTCAATGCTTGTTGTTTTCTGTTTTCCTGTTTTTTTGTGGGGGTTTTTTTGGTTTGTTTTTTGTTTGTTTATATAGTATACAAGTATATATAATATAAAGGATATGAAATGGTTTCTTATTGTGGTTGCAATTTGTGTTTCCCTAATGATGAACGGTATTGAGCATCTTTTCATGTTTGTTGGCCATTTGTGTATCTTCTTTGGAGAAATGTCTATTCAAGTCCTTTGCCCATATTTTAATCAGGTTGGGTTTTGTTGTTGCTGTTGTTGTTGTTGAGCTGTAAGAGTTCTTTATACTTTCTGGATCTTAACCATTTACCAGATATATGATGTGCAAATATTTTCACCCATTCTGTGAGTTGTCTTTTTACTCTGTCGATTGCATCCTTTGATGTACAAAAGTTTAAAATTTTGATGTAGTGCAATTTATCTATTCTTTTCTTCTGTTTCTTATATTTTTGGTGTCAAATGATTTACTTTTAAAAAACCCTCTGTGCTCACTGTGAAGTGGCTTCTATTATTGTTATTATTTTGTGAAAGAAGAAACTGAGGCTTAGGAGGTTAAGTAACTTGCTTAAGTGTACACAACTAGACAGTGTGTAGGAGGAACCAGGCTTGAACACAAGTCTGTTTGAGTCCAAGACTCATACTCTTAACTGTTACTCTACTGTGACTAACCACTCGCAAAGCACAACACAGGGAAGAAGGTTGGAGAGTTGAGAGGGGCCGCCTTAAAAACTCCTTTATTGACAGGCTTTGGACTTTATCTAGAAGATAATGGGGCACCATTGATACCCAGGAAATTTCTTGAAGTGGAATTTGTCAGCTATTTGCAGAGTAAGTTGGAAGGAAAGAAACTAGAATTCAGGGGCCCAGCTTGGGAGCTGGTATAGGACTGGTAGCCTGATGCAAGAGTTTCCACTGTTTGTTTGAGGTGATTGATATTTTCTAGGTTTCTGAACAGCAGCTCAAAGAAGCTGTGGCCCAGGCTGTGGAGAACATCAGGTTTGGAAAGGAGAGGCATCAGTGGAGTCTGGAAGGTAAGAGATATGGGGAACTTTGACTTGAAATACCTGTGCCTTCTTAGAAAGCTTAGAGTTTAGCCATTAACTCACCCTATACCTCAGGAATAGTGAGAACAGTCATCATAGACAAGCATGGCATATAGACAAGGGTTGAAAGCTAGTAGCCATCAGCTAAATTTGGTACGCATTTTTGCTTAACAAAGCCACGAGATTTTAAAATCATGTGAATTTGTTTTAAATGTGGCAGGCACTCTTCAGTTCTCTGAAGTCCTCATCATTACCTTTGTCTTATACCAGGTTGTCATTCACAAAATTGCCCCTGAAGGCATTTGAATTTGCAATGCCTAATCTATAATAGAATCCTGAGAATTATTAATTAATTAATGCATTATTTCACTGAATCTGCACATCTAATTTTAATGCACATTTTATAGGAAAAATTGAGGCCCTGAAGGGCTCTTTTACCCAAAGTCAGACCACTAGGGCATGGAGGATCCAGAATGGAAACCCGGCTCATTGACTCCCATGCCTAAACATTGGGCTTTGGCCAGGTCATCATGGAGCATCCATATGATGGAACAATGTGAAACCATTAGCACTGATATTGACAAAGAGATTAAATGGTCTGGGAAAATGTTAGAGAAAAGAGAAGTACACAATTTTTTTTTTCAGCATGCATATATGCCTAGGAAACGTTGACAGAGAACCTCACTCACATTGTGTCAGTGGTTATCTCTGGCTGATAGGACTGCAGGTGAATTTTTACTTTCTTTCCTTCTTTTATGTGCTAAGTTTTCTCTAATTAGCATGCATTATTTATGACCAGGAAAAAGCAAAAAAATACTTTTTCTTTAAGGAAGATTTGAATTATGAGCTTGGCTGGCCTTGGTTCTCTCCTGAGGTCTAAGGTGCTCTCCTGTGGGGCCCCCTTTGCTCTTCCAGCCTCTAAGAATGAGCTGGAATTTGAGCTAGAGACTATGCCTCCATCTTCTCCCACTTCCTTTTACCGCTAGAGAGAAGGGCCTCTCAAGGATGTATGGGTGGCCCTAGTGCTGGGAACTATGGGGTGGGTTGGGGTGGGGGGTGGGCTGAGAACCAGGAAGAAGGGCTGCAATGGAGAGGGGAAGAGAAGGAGGGGCTATGGCTAAGAAACAGTGGTTTTCTGTCCTTGCCTCACCCCCGGCTGGGAAGAAATGGTACCTCTTGGTATAAGGTTCAAAGTGCCTTCACAGGTGTTCTCTCTCTCTGATATTGAGCCACAAAACAAACCCAGTGACCTTGGAAGTATTATTCCCATTTCACAGATGCAGAAATGGCGTGTGGTAGATTGGGTTCCCAGGAAGCGAACTCTGGGATGGAGTCTGGCATGCAGGATGTTTATTAGGAAGTGTCCTGGGGATCCACACTTGCAGAAGGCAGGGGAGGAACCAGGGCTGGGCAGAGGGAGGAGTCGAGCTGAGGTGCACACAGGACAGCTTCAGGCAACCCCAGGAGCTCTGCATCTAAAACAGCCCCTCACAGTTGTCCTGAGCTGGCAGAAATGGCTGGGCCTCTATAAGCCATCTCTGTCAGTCACTGGAGACAGGCTGTACCCTTGGGTGAGTGGCTCTCTGCCACCAGTGTTCCCACAGCTGGGACACCAAGCCCTTCCTTGATGGGTGATCTGGTGGCACATCTCCATATCCATCACTTGCAGGCTCAGAAGGGTTGAGTGAGTTTCCCAACCTGAAGTAATGTGGCTCTCTGGGACCAAACCCAAGACTGCCACACTCCAAATCCAAAGAGGCCTCAGATGCGAAGTGGACAGCCCGTGTTCAGTGTGCTGCCTGTAGCAGTCGCGAGCAAGGCAGGGCTGTTTCTGTCTTCTGAAGCTCAGCTGCGGGGGCTCCCTTGTGCTTCCCACACAGGTGTCAAAAGGCTGGAGAGCAGCTGGCACGGGCGGCCCACCTTGGAGAAGGAGCGTGAGAAGAACTCAGCACCCCCACATCGCAGGGCTCAGAAGGTCATGGTGCGCTCCAGCAGTGACAGCAGCTACATGTCTGGGTCCCCGGGGGGAAGCCCTGGCCATGGTGGTGCTGAACTGCAGCCCCCTGACCTAGAAGTCAGCACACACAGCCCCAGCCTGCCCCCAGGGCAGGAGCCGGGGATGTTTCCCACGGCATCTTCCAGGCCACCGCAGGAGAGCCCTCCCCTCCCTGAGAGCCAGGATGGCCACCCGCCACTGAGGCTGAAGAAATCCTTCGAGATTTTGGTGAGAAAGCCTACGTCTTCCAAGCCCAAGCCTCCACCCAGAAAATACTTTAAAAGTGACAGTGACTCTCAGAAGAGTCTGGAAGAAAGACAAAGCTCCTTATGCCCTTCTGGGCACACATTGTCCACCTGCAGCCAGGTAAGAGGACATGTCAGATGGTTGAGTGTTCTCCCGTGCCGTGCACACTTGTTCTTGAGCATTCGCAGTGGTATTAGCAGGGGCAGAGCGAGGGTTTCTCCTGCCCCATCAGAGAGAGGCCAGCGCTTAGAACTCAAGCCTAGGGCCAGGGGTGGAAAGATACGTTTGAAGGCTGGTGGGTCCAGTATGGAAGTCCTGCTCACTGCTGGGTTCCTAGCCATAACACACTTTGAGGCTCCTTGTGTGTGGGTCGTTTTTCGCATTCACCATGATGGAAGAACACCAGAGCTCCCGGAGAGTCATTCCATCAGCGGGGAGGTCTTTGCACACGGATCTTCAGGCACTCTGCCTGCAGAGAATAGTTGCCCGAACAACTGAAAGGGAACGAGATCCCGCTACCCTCTTGCTTCAGTGAGTAGACAGATGTGATTATGAGAAACTGGTTCCGATTTCTTCCCAGTTAGCTATGCCTCCTACTTCCTTAGGTGTGGAGCCTTGGAGAAGTCCAAGCTCGCTAAGCCTAGGTTTCCCTGTCTATTAATTGGGGCTACATTCAGCACTTCCTCAAAGGGCTACTGTGAGGATTAAATGTAACCACTTAAAAGTGGCTAACAGACCCTGGGGCACAATAGCCTTTGTTGCTGTGATTATTCCTCCACCCATCATGCTCCTTAAAGACCTCCCTTCTCAGCAACCCCACCCCACCCCCTTAAACCAGGCAGGCTGGCTACATCTTGAGTCATGTTTATGCCCTGGCACTGTGCTAAGTATTTTTATGTACATAGTCTCAGTTAATCCTTATGACGACTTGATGCTGGGTGTCCTGTCAAGTGAAGAGGGAACCAAGAACTTGCTTGAATTCACACCGCTGTCTTTCCCATCCTTACCCAGCAGCTGCCTTCACTGGGCAGGTGGGATGGGGCCTCTGGAAATCCCCTAGAACAATGTGTCACGAGGGTTGACAAGCTTCAGGAAGGGTAAGAAACCCTGAGTGGTGGTGATGAGGTGGTTGCGGAGTTAGGTGTTTAGGAGGAGGGGTGAAAGTGAGGGAGGACAGGAGGAAGCCAGCTTACCAAAGAGGAAGTACGGTTGTGCAGAGAGCTGGCAGGGTGTGGCTGGTTAGCAACACATGACAGAGTCATCCGAGGTGGATCTGTCCCCCACCTTCTCCTTTAAGCCAATATTTTATTTTCCTTTGGCCTGAGACCTATGAGTCTAGAAGGGCAAATCAGGAACAGGCAGGCAGAGAAGCCAGGCTTTCTGCCTTCCTTCTGGAGGCCCAGAAAAGGAGGAGTGCCATTGCCAAAGCAGCTCTGCCCAGGGATGTCCTGGCCAAGCAGTGCCACTGAGGGGGCAGGGAGCATCCCCAAGTGAGGCAGCTGGAGGAGGAAGTGGGGTGTCTGCAGAGAAGCCCAGGCAAGGAGCTGCACACAGGAGCTTTGTCACAAGCAGCCTTCCCTCATCTTTGGCATTCCGTCCTGCCTGTCAGAATCCATGGCTGCTTCCTGCATCCCCCCACCAGCTGCACCGTCTCCTGGGGCACAAAGGCCATTCTGCAGCTGCCCTTCTCTGTCCACTCTGTTGTGTTCACATGGCCAGCAGACCCTTCTCCTACCACCTTTCCATAAAACACAACCAACACAACATACTGGTACTGGGCATTGGGGGTCACAGAGAAAGGATTATAGCACGACAGAAAGCAGGAAGCAACTTGCTTGATGTCACTCTTCTTAAAATGTCCCTGAGCATTCCTGGGGAATCCTCACTGGATGTTTTCTCCTGAGTCTCTGTACAATCTCTCTCCCTCCTTCACTCTCTCTCTGCACGGTCCCAAGACTCTTCTCAAGCTGCTGTAGACAACCCCCAAATCTTTCCCATCTACTATAATTCAAGGGCGCTTAAGTTCCACAACCAAAATGGCCTTTGGGATATCTTCTTAAACAAAAAACTTATTCTGTCCCTTGTAGAAAGTCAGCTCAAACTGTCACCTGCATTAAAATGAAAACAGAAACAAAACCCTACTTTCTCCCTTCTCTGCTAAACCCACATCTCTGTCTTCTTTCCTTCTTTCCCCTCTCCCTCTCTCATCCACCAAGCATTATGCCAGGAAACACTACTCAGAGAAAAATTTAAGTAAAATCAAATTCATTTCAGGGGCTAAATTTAAATACCTCCCATGAAAAAGATGCAACCACTGTGGTTGGTTGCAAGAGTGCCTGCCTGTAAAAGTGCTCACAGTCATGGATGTAGACAGCTGTCATCTTACAGAGCTCCCAACCCGGTGAAATTAACTTTCAGCCACATGTCATTTTTCCCGTGTGATGAGAATCTTGGAGACCATCAACTTAATATTTGAAGCTTCGAACACCGTGGCCAAGCCTTGCTTTATCAAAGGACTAGTTCAAGAAGCCTGATGATTCCTCTGGAGTGGTTGATCCCTCAGTGTTTCCAAAATGCTCTCCTAAAGCTTGGCCTTACAATGGGGAACTAGGCATGAAGCGATCTTTGTGAACACGTTTCTAACTTTTGTAGACCTCGCCCTTCTCAAAGAATGTTTATTGTCAATGTAGACAGTAAACCTCAGGCCATGGATGTTTGCCATTTCTTTTTTAGTCCCACGTGATGCATTTGTTCTTTCCTGCTTCCTTTCTGGAAGGAAGCCTGCAGCCTTGTCAAATGGCCTGTCATTACGTGACTCTGAAACGAACAGAAGGTGGAGGCTGCCGTAGCATAGAACAGTATTTCTCTTGCAGTCGATCAGATCTAGGAGGCATCATTTGGATGACGTCTGCCTTCTCATTCTTTTTCTCTAGGTGGGTTTCATGCTTGGTTGGTCCATCTCTCTGAAATACTCTTCTTCTGCCTTTCTGCCTGTAAAGTATTTACTCTTTGTTCAAGAACCAGACAGGAAGCATTTCTCTAGAGAAGCCTTCTCCAGCTCTGGGAGGGAGCTGGAGCTCTCCACTTCCTGTGGGTGCTGACAGCATCTTATCCACACTGTGTGATCATCCAAACTCGATTCCAGCATTACATAGTTATTTGGTGCCTGGTCCATCTCTTCCCTGGGACTGCATCCAGGCTCAGTGGGGAAAACAATTCTGCAACAGATTGGTGATGTCATGCCAGGTGCTACAGAGAGCGGCGGTGGCTATACCACCGAGTGTTTGTCATCCTTTGCAGCGTGCTTACTAAATCCATATCTAAGAGTGAAAAACAATTGACAGCGACTGACGAGTATTTTCCTCTGAGTGTTCCCACCTTAACTACAAGGCAGTTTCTGTGCCGCCTTGTTTCTATGCAGCTCTGGGCCCTCCTGGGCAGGTAGTTCACCAGGGTGCAGTTGTAAATGAAGCAGTGCCAGCCCCTTCCACATCCCAAGCCTCTTTTCCTTATCACAAAGAGCCAGGGTCTTCACATATGTCCATGTTTTGACACCAGGTCGTTGGAGGTCAGGGAATGCTCTGGGTCTCTAGGAGGTGCTGGCTGTGCTATGAGGGACAGCAGAGCAGAGGAAAGGACCCTCTTTACAAGGCTGCTGATGAATTTCTCATCAAAGGCGGCTCAATATCCGCTCTCTGGTCTCCATCAAAGTGCGCCTTGCCTTCTCACTGCCGAGGCTACGTTGGAGGTCAGGGAATGCTCTGGGTCTCTAGGAGGTGCTGGCTGTGCTATGAGGGACAGCACAGCAGAGGAAAGGACCCTCTTTACAAGGCTGCTGATGAATTTCTCATCAAAGGCGGCTCAATATCCGCTCTCTGGTCTCCATCAAAGCGCGCCTTGCCTTCTCACTGCCGAGGCTATCGTTTTGACATGATCTCGCTTCCTGTTTACACCACAGGAAGCCAAAGAGCTGCTGCCACCACTATCGCTGCAGGAAGACGTAGTGGGGAGAACCCCACACACCATCGCCTGCTGCCCGGGACCTGGAGCTGGCCTGCAGACCACGTCCTCCCCAGAGGGAGAGCCAGGGAGGAGAAGAGCCAGCCCAGGTAAGCTTTCATTGAGAGCTTCCAGAAGGAAGGGTCTTCTGGAAAAAGGTCCAGTGATAAGGTAAGGGAGTGAGTTTGGTCTGAGGATCAGAGTGCTCTGCACTGACATGGCGTCTGGCCTCAGGCTCATAAACAACCAGGAGTCTGGGGCGCTGGGGCAGCCAGGACAGTGGAGGTGCTGTCCAGGGTGGGAAGCCTCCTGGTTGGATCAGGGATGCTGTGGTGGTGGTGGGGAATGCAGGACCATCCAGGTGGTCAACTGGAGAATGGAGCCCTGGGGCAGATGTCCAAAGACACATCCACCCAAGTATCCTGGGCAGCTGCCTTGGGGGCCAACATTCTAGCATGCTGCATTTCCAAGTCTCAGAGTGCAGTGCCAGAAAAATATAAATAGAGTTTCGTTGGTGGTCACCACCTCCACACGGTGGATAGCAAGGGTGGTCCACATTGTCTACCTGGAATGCTGAGACGTGACTTGAACATTTAGTGACTATTTAGAAAGAGCACAGGATTTGGAGTAGGAAATCCTGGATCTGCCCATCATTAACCGTAAGTCTGGGCAACTTACTTTGCCTTTCTGGGCCTCAATTTACTCATCAGTAAGGTATGGAAAATCATATAGAACCCCCAAATGTGATAAATTTAGCAAGCACACATTGAATACTGGCTTTGTGAGGCCACGTGCTTGGTGCTGGGGAGAGACAGAGAAATGGATGAGATAGACCAGTTCCTGCCACCAAGAAGTTCCTAGTAGCAGCAGAGAAATATATATGTAGGCTACAAACCATATGCCTGTTTGAGAAACAGCACATAAAAACACTTGAAAGCCTCCTGGAGGGGAAAGGGACATTATGAATGGAAAGATCTAACAGGTCTCACCAAGAGCAGATGCCTTACTGATGGAGACTCCTCCTCCTGCCTCCACTGTCCCTTCCTTTAGTCATCCTAATTGAGAACACACCAGAGAATGCCTAGGTGCTCTACTGGCCTGAGGCCCTCACCCAAGATTACAGAGGGCTTGCCTGCAGACCTCTGACTCCTGATTCTCTCAACAGCCCCCTGCAGCCAAGCAATTTATAAATGCAGAATCAGGCTGAGAGGGCTGGACTCCCTTGCTGAAGTCTTGGAGTCAGGATTAACCATCGAGGTCCTCTGGATCATGCAGAGCCTCTCTTTGATATCATCAAGGTTCAGTGCTCTGCACAGTTTGCTTCCCTTGAGGCCTGACATTGAGATGAGGGGCAGGAGGGATCAGTGCTCCTTAAACTGCATTCAGTATAAAACATCTTCCAAAGCACAAAGAGAATTAGGGGCCGAGTCTCTCCTACCTGTGCAGATGGGATTCTGGTTCAATACTGGCTTCTGAGAAAGACCCCATGTGCTGCCCCACACATGGAACGACTGACCTTGGCAGGACATGCCTGAGGTCCTAGCAGGCAGGGAGCAGGTTGCACATTGAAACTCCCTGTGGGGCTTATCACATTCCCAATGCCCAGGATGCATCCCAGGTGTATCCAGTCGGAACCTAGGGTGGGCATCAGTATTTTTTAAGGCCCTGGAGATTCCAACAGGTAGCCGAGGTTGAGAATCATCGTTATAGTGCTTCTCTCTATTTGGAACTTCTCATCAGCTCTTTAGGGAAAAAACTCCTTTGCCGAGCAAGCTGACCAATGACCTGTATATAGGGACAGTAGCAAGCTCACAGGACTTCAGGTGCCAGGCAGATGCATGCATGTGTGAAATGCTGACCCAGTGAGTGGGAGCATGAAGAGCTGTGGGATGCTGGAGGTCACCCTATCTGAAGGCGTGCACATTCACACTGCTGTTTAATGACATGGGCAGTCCAAGCTAAATATGAGGGTACTTCAAAAAAATCATGGCAAGATTCATATTATCTTTTAATTCCATTTTCCACAAACTTTTTGAAGTAACCTCATATGTCTGCCACTTTGTGATCTTTGGCTTAAAAGTTTAAAAGGTAAGAGAATTGCTTGGGCTTTTACATTTTAAGTCAGTTATCTGGGAGGCCCCTTAGTGCAGTGAAAAGGACTCAAAAGTGGGGAGTCAGGAGACCTGGGGTCCCAACCTAGCTCTTCCATCAGATGGTCCTTCACTCGTCTTGAATGCTGGGGTCCTCAATTGTGAAATGCCAGAAGATGGACCAGACATTCTCTGAGAACCCTTTCATTGCTAAAACACTATGATGCTGCAAAGTTAACTCCCACTTCTGGCTCTTTGATGCTGACCGCTGGCACTTCAGTCAGGAAAATAGCATCTGGCTCTCACCCATTTCAGGATCCACCATTTATGCTATCTCCTCCTCTAGAATATTTCTTGCAGTTCAGCTTTGAAACTAGAATTTAGGAAGAAAACTCACAATAAGATGTAACGCACAGCCTTGGCTTTGTTTCTGCTCCCTAGTGACCCAAACATCCCCAGTAAAACACCCGCTGCTTAAGAGGCAGGCTCGGATGGACTATAGCTTTGAGACCACAGCTGAAGACCCTTGGGTTAGAATTTCTGACTGCATCAAAAACTTATTTAGTCCCATCATGAGTGAGAACCACAGCCACATGCCGCTACAGCCCCACGTCAGCCTGGGTGAAGAGGATGGGATACAGAGCCACCCAGATGGGACCCCACTGAAGCCAGACACTGCCAATGGTGCTTCCAAAGTTTGCAAGTCAGCAGACAGCAGCACTGTAAAGAAGGGTCCTCCTGTGGCCCCCAAGCCAGCCTGGTTTCGTCAAAGCTTGAAAGGTTTGAGGAATCTTGCCCCAGACCCAAGAAGGCTGCCTGCTGCGGCCTCACCCACTCAGCCAGCACCTGCTTCCAGGGATCACCCGGGGCCACATCCGCGGGCCTCCTCCTCCTCCATCAAGCAGAGAATCAGCTCTTTTGAAACCTTTGGCTCCTCTCAACTGCCCGACAAAGGAGCCCAGAGACTGAGCCTCCAGCCCTCCTCCAGGGAGGCAGCAAAACCTCCCGGGAAGCAAGAGGGAGGACGGTTTTCCGGCATCCTGGGGCGAGGGGCTCCACCCCCTGTTGAGCACCAGCAGCCAGAGCAAGAGCAGTTACCCCAGGGGTCCCCCGGAGCCATGGAGGCCAGCAACCCAGGTGTGTCTGAGTCCCCTCCCCCAGGGTGGCAGCCCAGCCAGAAAACCCTCCCACCTGACCCGGACCCTCTCTTGAGTTTGCTGTCAACACAGACTTTGGAATCTCAAGGCCCAGTCGTTAAGATGCCAAGCCAGCGGGCACGGAGCTTCCCCCTGACCAGGACCCAGTCTTGTGAGATGAAGCCACTTGATGAAAAGACCAGTAAACTCTACTCCATCAGCAACCAGGTGTCATCAGCCGTCATGAAATCCTTGCTGTGCCTTCCATCTTTGGTCTCCTGTGGCCAGACTCCCTGCATCTCCAAGGAAGGGGCATCTGCATCGCCATCGTCCAGCGAAGACGCAGCTGTGAATAGTTTTGCAGAAACTCCTGCCTCAGACATGGGGTTCTCGCTCAAGTGAGTGTCTACAACCAGTGTCTCTCTTCCTATCTCATTTTTCTTTTCCATCTTTCTTTCTTTTATAATCCTATGTATGTTTTTAAAAATGTCTCAGATGTACTAGCTAAAAGATTGTACCATCTGTTCTTTTACATGTGTGTGCATATGTCTTAGTGTGTGCGTCACATTTCTGCCTTCCATATTGAGGAGGGGTTTTAATATCACCTGGCCTCGGGAAGGGTGAGACACGGGATGGGACTGGTCCTCCAGCAAATTACCCACAGAGATTTGGAAGGTTGGTGCATATCTGAAATATCCTGCTATTACTCAGGAAGACCAGCCTGAGGCCAGGAGATGACCCCTTGGCAATTCTTGCTGCTCCCCAAAGGAATCCACTTGTGTTTTCACATGGGTCCAGCCCTCTAGTCAAGGAGTTAGGAATCTGGATCCTAGTTCCAGCTCAGGCACTGACTCTTGAATCATGAGCAGGTTTCTTCTATACTCACCCTCAGCTTCCTCTTCAGTTGAATTTAGGAGGTAAAAAGACCTGATCCACAGAACTATGGGGCTCAGCCTTCTCTCTTTAATCAGAGCAGCTCTGCGTTCATCAGTTTTATTTATTGTTCTTACGCTGCTGAGAAATATCTGAGACCTACTGACCCAGATGCTCCATCAGGTTCCAGCCACCACAGTCAGCCTGTGAAAGAACCTGAGTGATCTTCCAAGACACAACATACAACAGGGTTTCAAGAGCCAGATCAGCATACACATGGCGAGTCAGAGTTGGTCAGCTGGAGAGAGTTGTTCACTGTCTCTGGCTGAGAGCCTGTTGGAACTGTGAGGCTCACTGTTAGAGTTAACTGCTGTAGGCACCCCTTCACCTTTTAGCAGTAAAGGCCTGTCAATCAGAGGGAGGAATGAGCCTGTATTATTGAAACAATAGGTTCATGCAAAATATGAACTGTAGCTGAAAAAAATAGCTACCTAAACCAAAATGAGTTCAATAGCAAAAGGAAGGACAGTTGCTGGCTAAGTGGGCACCGTTTCTAATTGCTAGGGCTAATGTAGCATAGCCAGGTGCGGGCAGCACACATGAAGGGGGACAGGGGTGAACATGTTTCTGGAAGGCATTAGCCTTGATGGCAGGGTGCGGCCTTCATGCCATTCTAGGTATCCTGACTGTGATCTGACAGTGGCATTGGTGCAGATTTGTCCAAAGCATCAGATATATTCTGGGCTGCATTAAGATTTCAAACGTGGACCCTGGAATCAGAAGCACCATGATCCGTAATTTTGAATACTGGATCTTGGCATTTTATAGCCAACTGACCATCGCTAAGTTACTTCCCCTCTCTTAGCCCCAATTTCCTCATATTTCTAGTGTAGGGATGCTGGTATCTACTCACAGATTTGATCATCAGATAAGTGAATGCACCTAAATACTAGCACCATGCCTAGAATAGAGTAATAAATGCCATACGTGTTAGCTCTTACTAATATTACTATTTATACTGTGCATTGTTTCTCTCTATGAAAGCCTTTCAGAGCTGAGAGAGTATACAGAGGCTCTCACTGAGCCCAAGGAAACCGATGATGGGGGCCACTGTTCCCCTCAGACTGGTCAGTCTGTTATCTCCCTGCTGAGCTCAGAAGAATTGAAAAAGCTCATTGAGGAAGTGAAGGTTCTGGATGAAGAGACATTAAAGGTAGGTTTCCTTTATAAGCATTTACAGTGACAAGGACTTATTGCAGGCTGTGTGGTCACCTTGGCTGGGCTGGAGTAGCCCCCTGCTCACTGAGGCTTGAGAAGGTAGCTCTCAGGAGCTGACACCAGGCCCAGGTTATGTTCTGCCAGTGGTAGGGGGACATCATGTCCCATAGTAAGACCTTCCACTCTAGGGGAGACTTTTAGCCTGTGAAATATTTTCAATACATTGACTTCTTGCATCTTTTTGACCATTTTATAAATGAGAAAGGTGAGGCTCAAGGTCACAGGAGCTTAGGTTTTCTTTTCTTTTCTCTTTTTTTGGTGTCTGGCCGGCATGGGGATCCGAACCCATGACCTTGGTGTTACAAGGCTGTGCTCTAACCAACTGAGCTAACCGGCCAGCCCTTATGTTTTCTTTTTCCAAGCTCAAGTTCAGTGCTCTTTCCACATCCTGTAGGCTGCCATCCTGGCATGAGTCTCCAGGGAGATGCTGCATGGGAGGTCACTGTGCAGTGTAAACCGTGTGGGCTATGAGAGCTCTCGCTCAGGACTTTCAGCATTTCCACTGCAAACCCAGAGATGACTGGTCCTGGGGCTCTGAAGGGCCCTGCGCTTCAGTCAAGTCATTCTAAAAGTCCTGTCTCCCATATGCTTTCTGAGCATGACACAGGGTGTGTGGAGAGGCAGCAGAGTGGCAGAGCTGGGGACAGCAGTCAGATGAGCACAGCCTCATGGGCCTTGCACCCTCCAGGGCTGCCCAGGGTCCACACGGGCTATTTGCACTGGAATAATCTACCCTGGAATGAGAGGATAAGGAGGCCCTCCTTTTCTGTATGAAGAGGCACCATAGATGACCTCAATTCTGAAGTGAAGGGTGTTGGGTAAGTCTGATGAGCACAAGATGCCCCTGGGCTGTGGTTCCTCTCCTGTGACTCTCATTCATCACCTGTAGCTGGGACCGTCATCCCACAGGGCCTTATTCAGCTCAAATGAAATAGCAGAGGCAAAAGTGTATAAAATACAAAGAGCCGTCCTGCCTAAGGTGTTATTCAGAGAGTATTTGCTTTCCAACTTGACAGGAGCCTTCTATACAGCAAGTAACCTGATACTTGGGTAAAAGGTGGGAGATTTGGGCTAGTGCCAAAATGATTTTGGCACTAGATTTTGGGGCAGTGAAGTACATTCATCCCTCCATCCCTTCTGGGCCTTGGGGACTCCAAACCCAAGCACCATAAAGCCAGCTGCAATTCAGGGGCTCTTGGTGGTACGCAAGCACATGAATCTTTTTCTTGTTTTTGCTGTTGCTTTGCCCCCACATGGATTTGTCACCCCTCTCCCCCTGGGTGATGGAGCCACAAAGGATTACTCAAAGCCCATCTCTTCTGAACAGTGAGAGACCCCAAAGTGGTTAATCTCCCCTGGAAACCTCAAGTGAGAGGCATCCTTGGGAAATTAACACCAAATTGGGGTTCTCTTCCTGCATTTATTTTCCAGACCAGGAAGTTACAGGAAGAGAACATAGGTGGGGTTATAGTTTAACAATATAGGCTGGTAACTTTCAGTGAAACAAGACAGATGACGTTCCAGTAAGGCAATTAAGTGGTCTTACAGCAATTTCTCAGTATCTTTACATAACAATCAGTAACTAGTCTGTCCTTGAGCCAGCAACCTTGCTGTGCCACAAATCTTTATCTGACATCAGAGACTTTATAGCCTGAGCAAAATTTCCAGTACTCCACAAGGTCAGTATTTGAAACTGCAAGGCTTTGGAAAACCAGGCCATGTGAAGTACATCTGTTTTAAGAATCCTCTACATCTCCCCCCATTTTATTTATTTAAAAGAAAAAGCAAGAACTATAGATCAGGTTGGCACAGTTAAGACAAAAAGCATTTAAAGCAAAGTTATTATCATTTAGCATGGCATCCTTTTAATTTACTTCAGGTGAGGACTAATGATGTCATCATCTCTCAGGGCGGCTGCAGCAGCATCAATCCAGGTGCTGTGAATTGGGTGTAATTACCAGCTGTTGAAACTCCAGAAAGGGATTTTGCTCCATGTAATAGTTGATTCTGAGTCCAGGGAGTTTGTTAATGTTAAAGCTGTCCAGGACATTACTGCTTTCAGATTGTCTAGTCTTATGTAAAATTTTTGATCAATTACGAGTCTTTTGTTAAAGAACAGGATGTCTCATCCAAGTTACAAACACCCTCTTTAAGGCCAGGAAAATTTAGAGAACTGCTTTTGTAGAGAAGACATTATTTCCCCCTTTATGATCAAGGCATACTTCATAAAAGCATTGATGATCAATATCTCGATTGAAAAGGTATTACTTTTCTTTGTATAAGTCCCACGCTGCTGGGAATGCTGTTTCCCAGGTGAAGATCTGTCTGTCCCATGTTGGGGGAAAATATGAACAGTAGGATGAAGCAGCAGTTTAGGCCGAATTACGGCAAACATGAAAGAGAGATCAGGAACTTGGAAGTGAGACATGCTATCTTATATCCAAAGTTTTAAATTATATCCTGTTATAAAGAGAGAGTTATTTTCATTGAACTTATAAAAATAGCCATATTGTGATAATAATCATAAGGATACTTAAAGTTATTAAATTTGGGAGGAGGATCAAATAGGGAGAAAACAAATACTTTTACTTCTGTTTTAAATGACATTTTACCAAACTGTTGTTAGTTATAGATAGCTTAAGAGAGAGAGTTTCCCCACATCCAGAGAACATTAGGAAAACCAGCAGTGCCCCAAAACAAGGAAATTGTAAAAACCCACAATTTTTCCTAATTAATTTACTAATTAACTTTTGTTGTTTTGACCTTTGTGAACAATTTCACAAACCCATCAGTTTCTTCATTAGAATTTTGGAACTTTAGTTTAAAAGCTATGAACTCAAAGTTTGTTGGGAAACTGTACCTATCAGAGTTTTTTCATGAAATATTTGAAGACATAAATATATAATTAAACCAAGGTTATGACTAGTAGCATTTATATCAAGACACAGATATTTAAGAGCCTTACAAGATTTTGGAACACATATCCATAACACCTTCAGTACTGACAATGCTTTCGCATATAGTCTAATTTATTAAATAAGCCAATTAGTTTTGATACATTTTTATATATCCTTTGAGAAACTCCAGGGCTCTTGGAATTTCTCAAAGTTATTTTAAAGTTTCAGAATTTAGTGTTGGAAAGCTGTGTTAAATAACAAAAAGGCTTAAAACACTTAGTTGAATAAAACCACAAATTATTATAAAAAATAAAACCAAAGTAACAAAGGGTTTTAAAGTCAGAGAGCACAAGAACTTATCATGGTAAAACATGAAATAAGCTCCCTAGGCCAGTTATATAAAAGACAAAGAAAATCTTTTACAATTTTTTAATAAGAGCAGTTAAGTTTTTTTTTTTTTTTTTGTTTGTTTGTTTTTAGAAAATCTGGTTGTTCCATCACAGGAGAGCAAATTCTAACCCTGTATTAGAATACTTTTGACATTAATTTTTAGAAAGACTCACCCATAATTTGTTTTTATTTTTTTATTTTTTATTTTTTCCTTTTTGTCTTTTTTCGTGACCGGCAACGGGACCCCCCCCCTCAGTGTTGTGCCCGCACCGTGCTCAACCAGTGAGCGGACCGGTCTCTATATGGGATCCGAACCCTCAGCGGGAGCGCCGCTGTGCTCGCAAGCGCCGCACTCTACCGAGTGCGCCACCGGGCCGGCCCATAATTTAATTTTTAAATCCAGTTATTTTTTTTTACTGTAAAACCCTTTTAACAAACTTATCTACATAAACCATTATCAAGACTTACTCAGACATTCTGTTTTTGTCCTATACTTCCTACTTTCTAAATAGCCAGTCATTTTGCTCTAGGACAAAAATACACTGTACCAGATGATTTCTTACATAATTATTTTTCTTTCTCTCTAGCCCCTCCAACTATAACCATATCCCCACATCCATAGCCTTCTTTAAATCACCTCTTTTTTACATGCTTGTTTCTTTTTTATCAATGTTAAAAAGGCCTAATTTACCTAAAAATTATATATAAAAAGGGGTTTTTGAGTATTTTTTTTTTTTTTTGGTTTTGGCAGGGTTTACAACTTAAAAGCCTCTAGCAAAGACAAATGTAGTCCTGTTTGATTAGTAAACCCAGGCAACAATGTGTGTTGATAAGAACACTTTTATACATTCAGGTTAGTAAATAGGCATCCATTTATTAGAGCAAATTATACAAAGCCCAGTTTGAGTTTTAGCTATATTTACTGAATACATATTTATGGTTTCCCAGCCAAAAACTTGGCAGATTAGATCTATACCCTTATCAGTTAATGCTAACTGGGGCCTACGCGATATTTGGCATAGGTTTCTTTTCACTAGCCATTTCAGGTCCCGGGTTTCCACGTGGCATTTGGGGCCATGTGGAGCTTAAGACAGAGGGCGGTATATACTTAGAAGATATTGTTTCTCCCAGCATGGCCAGGAGGCAGAGCTGAGATAACAAGGAGACATACTGACCTAGAGACAAATTTAGGTAAAAGGTTTAAATCAAATTTTGAAAATATATTTATCAAAACTTTAGAAGATTTAAGTCACATGAACTTGAAAAGTATACTTATTTATGTAATGAGCTTGCATTAATTATAAGCCAATTTGGTACCTTGAACATAACACAATTACACAAACAGACATGAACATATAGACATGACATACAGCTTACACATGCATATATGCAGACATAAACAACAAGAACAAACAAGGGTCTTATAGGTTTTGTTCAAGATGTAATAAAAAGCTCACTAGTAAAAAGGACAGTCAAATTTAGATTGCGTTTTTTCAAAAAGACTTATTGGTGAGCTCACCTTGCCTTAAAGAAAGCAAGATAACAAATTTATATTGTAAAGCAAAGTATGCAAGCCTTTTCAAGAAGATGCAGAGAAGATTTTCTTCCTTTAAGAAGATAGCATAGAATTCTACCATAGGATTTTGTGAAGAAAGACATAGATGAGATTAGAAGAGAATTTAGAAGTCTGTTTAAGATAATCAAGTGGATGCCAGAAAATTTGAGACCATCTGTTAAACAGGTAGATTTTAGGTTAGTATTTTTTCTTAAATGAGTTACTGAGCTCAAGAGATGAGCCACCAATCAGAGATGAAACCATTTGACTTTTAGGAGAAGAGCAGGAGACCCAAAAGGGGTCTGGTTGGTGCCATGGCTGCTTTTCTTCATAAAACTCCAGAGTCTTCAGTGAAAAAGAGTAGTACATGCAGTTAAGAAAAGAACCACTGCTTTTAAGAGAGGAGAGAAGCATTGTGCAGATAAAAAAGAAAAACATGCTCAAGCAATACCAACACTGTAAAGAAATATGAACTTCTTTTACTTTAGATTGTCCAATTTAAAGTTTTCTCAGTCACTGGCAAAAATTAAGTTTTATCCTTTTTTGGTGACATAAACGTCTTGGATAGGTCTCAGAGAGACTTGACATAGATTCCTAGTTGTTAGGTGGGAAGCCTTAACAAGACCCATTGCATAATTAACCAGTGACCAATTTGTTCCCAAATTTTTATGTTAAGGCTCCCTTCCTTGAGGTATCAAAGACATGGAGTGCAATCGCCAATTGAAAGCCACCTGTGATTCCCTTACTGGGAGGCATTTCCCTTCAATGGGACTCCCTTGCTGGGATGAATCAGACATCCTATTCCTCTCCAAGGCTTGGCAGGTCAGTCTCTGATCCATGGAGAACTTCCTCACATGGGGCACCATTTTGTTGCTTTGCCCTCCACGGATTTGTCACCCCTTTCACCCTGGGTGATGGAGCCGCAAAGGATTACTCAAAGCCCATCTCTTCTGAGCAGTGAGAGACCCCAAAGTGGTTAATCTCTCCTGGAAACCTCAAGTGAGAGGCATCCCTTCCTTGGAAAATTAACCCCGAGTAGGGCTTCTCTTCCAGCATTTATTTTCGAGACCAGGAAGTTACAGGAAGAGAACAAAGGTGGGGTTATAATTTAACAATATAGGCTGGTAACTTTCAGTGAAACAAGACAGATGACGTTCCAGTAAGGCAATTAAGTGGTCTTACAGCAATTTCTCAGTATCTTTACATAACAATCAGTAACTAGTCTGTCCTTGAGCCAGCAACCTTGCTGTGCCACAAATCTTTATCTTACATCAGAGACTTTATAGCCTGAGCAAAATTTCCAGTCCTCCACAAGGTCAGTATTTGAAACTGCAAGGCTTTGGGAAACCAGGCCCTGTGAAGTACATTTGCTTTAAGAATCCTCTACATTTTGCAAGTGAATTTTTGTACATAAATTTACTCCCTAGTGCCAAAGTGCAAACTAGTGGCTCAAGACCCACATGGACCTGCAGGTATATTTTCTTTGATCTGCATGGTAATTTATTTATTTATTTTTTAGTTATTGAATTCTAGATATCATAAAACCTGAATCAAAACTTGGATTTCTGGCTGCTGCTGCTTTTTCTTTTAAGGGAATGATCTGGTAGCACTGGGTCTGCATTTCCACATAGCAGCTGACCCTTTGAGCAGGAGATGTGTTCTCTGGCTCTCTGCAGTTCCTATCACTCACATCTGCCCATCTTGCTCATTAAAGTGATCTGCCATTTGAGTTTGAGACATCAGCTCTAGACTGGAGTGGGAATCTCTGACTTTGGACAGTGCAGGGAGGTTGTCCTGGATCTGTTTGAGCCCATGTCCGGGCTGGGAAATACTGTGTATGCCTATGTGTGCATAGGGGTCAGATGTCAGCTGGGCTCCCTAGTGCTGCTTCTGTGCCCCATGGAGGACTAGTGAGGAAGAAGGAGCAGCTAACTCCTGCAAAACAGCAGTGACCCTGGGTTTTTGACCCGAAGTCCTACAAGTTGACTTCATCCCACATTGATATGGTAGAGCTGCACTACCCAACACACTGGGGCTTCCGGTTGACTTAGCAACACCTAGCCGTGTCTGTATGAGCGTGGGTGTGGGGTGTGTGAGAGAGGAAAAGAACTATGCTTGCTGCTTTACCTACATTTTTTTTCCCTTCTAAGCTTCCCATGACTCCTGAAACAAGTGATGAAACAGGTCTGAGGAGGTGACAGAACTTTGAGCCTGGTCAAGCTGGGTTTGAGATAACAAACGAGTCTGACGTTAAAGCACTTGTTAAGTTATTCATCCTGTTGCACTAAGATGTTTTTTAATGTATGTATTTTCTTCTGCAGCAATTAGACAGCATCCATGTCACCATCCTGCACAAGGAGGAAGGAGCTGGCCTTGGGTTCAGCTTGGCTGGAGGAGCAGATCTAGAAAACAAGGTGATTACGGTAAGTAGCCCAGTGATGGGGGCACGTCCCATCTTCATGGATGAGCTGTGGCATGGCTGCTCCATCTCTCCAAAGCTGAGTACACTGTCATCATCAAAAGCTATGTTGTCTCAGTGTGTCCTTTACATTGGCTGTGCTGGGCTTATTTGAATGTTCTTGCCCAGCTGAAAATAAATCCTTCAGTTCACAGCATCAGTCGACATTAAACACACCACACCCCCTTGCAGTGGTAACTTGGCATGTTCCTCTCTGTCACTTCAGAGGCAATAGTGTGTGAGTAGTGACTTCCTTGATTTCTTCATGAGTTCTCCACCACAAAATACACATAAAACCAATAGGTACTTATTTTGGTCACTAAGCACATAGCAGAGTATTACAAGAAGGTTCCTGATTGTGACTAGAAAAAAGACCTAGCCTGCGGGAAAAGGATATTTTTCTCTGCCTTTGAGTGGTGACTTCTCTTTACTTTATTTGGCCAGTCACCCCTGAGACACCGCAGCCACTCAGAAAGCAGGAGGAAGCAATCCGTGTCGGCCGAGCATATGCACAAGAGCTTCCTCTTTCTCCTTCCGTGTTTGAGCACGTCTCTCCCTTTCCAGACTCGTGAAAAGGGAACTAATGTAGAGCACCGTCCATGACCAAGCCCCGTACTGGGCGCTTCCTGACCTGTTTGTTGGCCAAACTCATCGTCCGTGCTCTTTGGGTTGAGGAATTGGAAGCATTTATGCTTCTTTTATGGAAGACACAGGATTCAGAGTGGAGGTTCTGCTTCATGCGTGGGTCTTACAGTCTGGGGACTCTAACCACATCTGACCACATTAACAGAATTTTTCTAGCACTGAAACAATTTAGAGAAACAATGAACCTCGTTCACATCATAAAAGCAAAACCTATAGCACGTCTTAGTGATTGCCCGTGCCTGCTGCCATTCAATCATCTTAATTATAATTACCTCCTTAAAGAGGATGATGCAGATATAGTTTGTTTTTGTTTTTAATTTAGTCCCACATATCTTACAGAAAGGGGACCAGGGAGTGACTGGAGTTAAAGAATCAGAATTTCTGGGGGAGGAGCTTTAAAAATGCTTGGGATAGTGTTTCTCAAAATACATTCTGCAGAAGATGGGACCTGAGAATTTCTCTATGCAAAAAGGATTCTTCCTTGAAACGCTTTTGCAGATCAATGTATTATAGAGCCTATTCCTACAGATCTACCACGAGAATTTGCATTGTAGAGTCTAATGTTTTTTTTTTAAGTAGACATTTTCAGAGCTTATGTTTAACCCAGTACTCCCGAGGTTTCTTTGATCTTAGAAAACTTTTCTTACACAACACCTATTAATATGCCATAGAATCAGTGCTTCAAGAAAACTATTTTGGGAAATACTTATCTGACTAGGACTGTAGTGATACTATCTAAGACATTGTGTTGGGAAGGATCCTGAGTGCTCATCGGGCCATTATTGATGGTGATCTCTGCTTTGGATAAAGAAGGAGGGAATGCTGTCCCCTGGGCCAGCAGCTCAGATCTAGGACATAATTAGTTTCCATTTTCTTTGGCCTAAAAATCCTCTAGGGTTACAACTGGTTCAGATCCTCCTCCGGCAAGAATGTGGATGATTTCTGGGTGATTCTGGGTGATTTCTGGGTCCTGACTTCCTTTGGTTTGCTCAGGTTCACAGAGTGTTTCCAAATGGGTTGGCCTCCCAGGAAGGGACTATTCAGAAGGGCAATGAGGTTCTTTCCATCAACGGCAAGTCCCTCAAAGGGACCACACACAATGATGCCCTGGCCATCCTCCGCCAAGCTCGGGACCCAAGGCAAGCTGTGATTGTCACAAGGAAGCCAGCTCTGGAGGCCGTGTCTGACCTGAACTCCTCCACTGACTCTGCAGCCTCAGCCTCTGCAGCCAGTGACATTTCTGTAGAATCTAGTAAGTTCTCCCCACTCAATGAAAGCCCTACAGGCCATGTTGCCTTTGATCATTTGGGGGCCAGACCTGGTGGGGCTGTTCAGTAATTTGTTGCCCCAGAATGTGGGGCCTACTTAGCACACTGCCTGAGATGGGCTCGATTGATGCTCAGGGCATCTGTGGCCTGGGCGAGGATCCCTAACAAAGTCCCTGTGTTCTTCTCAGCTGCAGAGGCCACAGTCTGCACGGTGACACTGGAGAAGACCTCTGCAGGGTTGGGTTTTAGCCTGGAAGGAGGGAGGGGCTCCCTGCATGGAGACAAGCCTCTCACCATCAACAGGATTTTCAGAGGTATCGTGTGTGTCTGGTGCTTTGCGTTCTCCCCAGCATGTGCATGTGGCAGGCTCTAAAGAGGTTCCTGAGCAACTTCTGGGCCATGTTGGTTTCCTACGACCCCATGTCCTCCTGAGAGGCATGCTGGCCTTTGTAGGACTCAATTCTGCTTTTTTGACATTTTCTCTTTTGCTCAGACATCCCTTTAATCTCTCTGTTCTGCTAGGTCCTCTTAAGCACATGAACCCTGGACTTGGTTCAGCCTGACAGGGCCAGGACTAGGGTGAGGCAGCCAGGCACTGGCCAGGGGTGCACAATTTAAAGGGGTGCCAAAATACTCAGTAATCAAGAGCAATACTAATTCAATGCAATATTTAAAAAAAATCAAAATTAAAAAAATCTATGATGAACAGAATATAAAATTTTAACGTCAGTCCGATTTTGCACTGTACAGTTGGGCCTCACTAGCCTTACCCTAATCCCGGACCCATCGGTTCCTGCCTTTACTTAAAATTTTGATATTCTGCTTATCAGGGATTGGGGTACAAGCCAGTCTGACGTGGGGGTCACCTGGATTTGGGTTTTCCTATGAAAAATCACAAATGGCTTGTAGCTACCATGTAAAACCACCCCTGACTCTTCTTTGCTGCTCCTTAAGCTGGAAGCCCCTATGCCACAGAGCAAGGAGCTGGGAGGAGAGGAGCACTGGACAGGGAGTCCAGAGGTCTGGGGTCTAGTCCCAGCTCTGTGTCTAACTTGCTGAGTGGCCATTCCCTTCCAGGCCTGAGGCTCCTCATCCATAAAATAGGTAAAGAGCTATGGGGGGATGTGTCTGCACATTGTTAGTTCTGAGACCCAGTGAGCCCCACCTCTGCTCCCTGCCCTCTGTGAGCTCCCGCTGCTGACTGGTTTTGTTAGAGGAAGCTCTGCTGCAGCTGCAGAAGCCCAGTGGGTAGACTTATGGGGCTTATGGGGCAGTTCCCTCAGAATTCATGTTAACCCCAGTTCTGGGAAAGATTTTTTTTTTTGTCTTTTTCGTGACTGGTAAGGGGATCACAACCCTTGGTGCGGTGTTGCCCGCACCGCACTCAGCCAGTGAGCGCACCGGCCATCCCTATATAGGATCCGAACCCGCGGTGGGAGCGACGCTGCACTCCCAGCGCTGCACCCTCCCGAGTGCGCCACGGGGCCGGCCCTGGGAAAGATATTTTTAACTATTTAGGATGAGCATGGGATTCAAAGTCAAGAGATCTGGGCTGGCCAGTTGCTCAGTTGGTTAGAGCATGGTTCTGATAACAACAAGGTCCAGGGTTCGATCTCTGTACAGGCCAAACACCCTGCCCCCAGAAAAAAGAAAGTTAAGAGACCCGGATTCCAGTGTTCTACCACCTACGGCAGCATGACCTTGGGCAAGTCAGTTCACCATTCTGGGCCCCATTTGCTTAAATGGGATAAGCCTACCAGCTAAAGGCTGACCAAGGGGTGTGGATTCTGGAGCCAGAAAGTCTGGGATCCAACCCAGGCCCTACCACTTAGCAGCTTTCAAGCTGTGGGCAAGCTACTTGTGGGCAAGCCCTGTTTCCTCACCTGTACAAAGGGAATTCTAACAGCACATACCTCAGCGGATTAATGCGAAGCCTTATTACAATGCCTGGTACAGTAACTCATCAATACAACTTTGCTATATTTTCAGTACTATTGTTATCATTTTCTACTCTTACTCAGTATTTGTGAAGAGCAGTTTCAAAAAGTGAGAGCTAGCGATGATTATGTCCTTCTTGCATGGGCACAAAGATCTTCTCCAGGCCATTCAGAACCAAAAATCCCTGTGAAGATTACTTCATAAAAATCTTACCAGCTCCCATACCACCCAGTGCCGATGATCTCACAAGAAGGGGAGACCGGAGGTGGAGGGGGTGGGACATTGGGTCAGTGTCCAAGGGGGACTTTGAGGATTCAGTTCCCCAGAGTTCCCTATGAACTGTGGAAGGCTCAGAGCTGCCCAAACTCTCTCTTCCCTGGGGACAGCATGGGCTAGACACCTTTCCCAGGGCCACAGAGGGCTGAAGCCTGGGGCCCCAATCTCTGAGTCACCATTTTACAAGATGCCTCACTTTGGAACCACCACCAAGCTCCCAAGGGATGGGTGCCTCACTCTTTTCCAAGCTGTCCTGGCTCCTCAGAGACCAAGGACAGGAGGCAACTTTCCTTATTTCCCTACCACCTGTAGAACCTGTTACCATCTTCTCTCTTATTTCAGGAGCAGCCTCAGAACAGAGTGAGACAGTTCAGCCAGGAGATGAGATCTTGCACATGGCTGGCACTGCTGTGCAGGGCCTCACACGCTTTGAAGCCTGGAACATCATCAAGTCACTTCCTGATGGTCCTGTCCCGATTGTCATCAGGAGGAAAAGCCTGCAGGTCAAGGGGACCACAGCTGCTGGAGACCCCTAGGCAGAGCACCAGTGCTGAAGCGAAAGCCAGCAGCGTGCAGCTCCCACGCCTGCTGATTCTCAGGGTCTCTGCTGCCCACCCCACCCACATGGGGGAAAGTACAGGTGTGCTTCCTGGTGGCCACTGCCCAGGTCCAGACCTTCTGGGACACCACCCAGCAAGAGGGTTGTCCGATTAGTAAGGGCAGATTTACACTGGGGTGGCTGATACAAACTGTAGACTGTATAGAGAGAGCTTAATGATAATATTGTGGTGCCATAAATAAAATGCATATATTATGGTTTGATATGAAATCCATGTCCTGCTTTGGAAAACGTTTCAAGTACTGTAACTGTGTGATGATACACCCCCAAATGGCAATGTTTGTTTTTCTCATGAATCTGCAATTTGGGCAGGGCTTGGAGGGGACAGCTCATCTTTGTTCCATTTGGTGTCGGCTGGAGTAACAAAGGCTGGGGACTGGAGCCACGGGAGGGATCACTCACTCGCACATCTGGCAGTTGATGGTGGCTGGGAACTCACCTGCGGCTGCTGGCCTGAATGCTTCCAGGTGGCCTCTCCCTGTGGCCTGGGCCTCCTCCCAACATGGTGTCTGGTTTCCCAGGATGAGCATCACAGGAGCGCAAGAGCCAGGTAGAAGCTACATCCTTTTTGTGCCTCGGAAGTCATACACATCACTTCCGCTGTGCTCGATCAGTTAGAGCTGGCACAAACCCGCCTGGGAGTAAGGACAGGGGTAAATAAGTCTTACTGGGGCCATTTTTGGAGAACACAATCTGTCACATGAAACACTTGCAAAATCATTTTTGGCTGGGCTGGAGGAGTGATCCTACCAGGTAGTCAAGCCAATAAGCAAAGAGGACTTCAGGTGAAACTCAAAGTGTGGCCAGGTGGAACCAGCGTGAACATCAGAGGGCAGAAAAGGTGGAGATTGCTACCACTCACCCACCACATGCCCAGTGCTGTGCTGGGCATTACACGGTTGCTGTCTCTAGTAATCATAGCAGCTTCCACAGCACATGGTACTGTGCCCATGTACTGATGAGGGCACTGAGACTTGGGGACAGTAAATGACCTGTCCAGCAGGTAAGGGATGAGGCAAAGACTGAGTCCTTTTGCCTGACTTGGTAGAGACTAACAGGCCAAGATGCTTTTAAGGGCAGAGCATTGTGGAGAAAATACCTCCAAGTGTCTGACCCAAGGGATATTTGGTTTGGTCATCTCCTAATGCCTATTTGCCAAGCTCGGGACGAGGCAATTTGACTTTGGATTAGCAACAACCAGCATCACTTGGCCAGGCCTGGGCCCGAGGATCAGCCCCTCCCCAGGCCCTGCTCCTGTGAAGTAGGGATGTAGAGGAAGACCTGGCAAGGACCAAAGATGAGACACAAAAAGCAGTTGTTCTCAGGCCAGTATTAGTGGGACCATGTTAATGTTATCAGGTGGTTTCTCCGGGGTCCATAGGAAGCTAAGAATCTATTCCCAGCAGTGGACTCTTAGAAAACCCAGCCAGAGTCCTAATCTTTACATAAACCCCGTTGGTGGCTCCATCACAGTGGGTGTCAGACCATGGTTCTGTTTATCCTGAGAAAGAAAAGGCTTAGTTTGTGTCCTGCAGGTTGCCTTGTTTGCCACACTCTTGAATCTTGTCAAGCAGAGACAAGCAAGTGGGCAAGATCTTTGAGATGCCATTTGCACCTGCTTTTGGGATTTAACAGAAGCACTGAAGATGAAACGGAACAACAATGACAGCTGTGACTCAACGCAACCCCCACTGGGAACTCACTGCGCGCCTGCCCGGGGCTGGGCAAAGAGGCCACCAGACACAGAGGGCACATTCTTTGCCCACGCAACCTCACCATCTGTGCACACAGTGACATTTCCTATAATCAGGCAACTGTTTTGAGTCTTATCAAGCAGCCAAACAGCAGATCTGGGGCAACGTAGGGAAAGAGAAAGCGGGTTTCCATCAATATCGGGCGGCAGGTACAGGGATGAGTTTGGAGTTTGGAGCTTGGACAAGGATGTCCCATGGGCCTGGGACACTGAGAGACTTCTTGAGAGACCAAGCAAAGCAAGTGAGTGGCGGGGGTCTGTGGGGGGGAGGGGTTGTCTGAGGACTAGGGTTCAGACACGGGTGAGCCCATGGCCCTCCTAGGACTTCCTCCTGTCCCTAGTCTGTTTTAGAAGATTCTCTCCTCCCCCATCACCTGAGACAGGGCTGCCGAGGACACAACTACTGCCCAGGTCCCTAGGCCAAGGAGGTCTTCAGATTAGGAATCAGCAAGAGTCCTAAACAAAAGCCCATCCATTTGAGCTCCAGGATGCTGGGTTTACTTCTGAGGTTTAGCCTTCCTCGGCCAACTTCTTCAGAGCTGACACGAAGGCATGGAAAAAGATGCCTTTGAAAACTATGTTTCCGGTCATCCTCAAACACTGTGAACATCCCAGCTACCAGTTGTGGATCCAACTTAACTATCCAGGAAAAGGAGCCCATGCAGGGCCTCTCCTGGGCAACTCTAGTTCTTTGCCCTGCACAGCATTTTCAATATATTATCTCACTTGTGTTGACGCTCCAGAAGCAGGCTGCACTGGGACTGGCATCCATATTTTCTTTTAAAGACAAGAAGTCAAAGCAGAGATTTTTTTTTTTTTCCTTTGTCTTTTTTTTTTTCGTGACCGGCTACGGGATCGCAACCCTCCATGTTGCCCCCGCACCTCGCTCAGCCAGTGAGCGGCCGGTCTGTATGTGGGATCCGAACCCTTGGTGGGAGCGCCGCCACGCTTCCCGAGCGGCGCACTGTAGCAGTGCGCCACCGGGCCGGCCCCCAAAGCAGAGATGTTAAGTGTCTGTTCAAGAGCACAATGTTAAGTGGTAGGGCTTGGACCAGACACATTTTCTGGCTCCTTGTCCAGGGCTCAAACCAGTTTAAGCCGACGCCAGCAGTCATGGGAGAAGAGTAGGCACAGTCTATCCTGTGGGCCGAGAGAGACATGTCTCGGTTGGCCAGCCTTCAGCCAGGGAGACAGGGCTGCACAAGGGGCCCCATCTTGGTAGGACCACCATCTTCCTGAGTCTGGACCTTAGGGGGACAGGCACAAAGGTTTTCCTTGGCCGATGTACACAGAGTTGGCTGGACCTGGGAGGCCAACTCATGAGGAGTCAATATAGAATGGTGCTTGGCAGAGTAGGAACCCACTAAGTACTTACTGCATGAATGAATACATTCTAAGTAAAGTCAAGAGTCCAGTGAAGATTTCTCGATGAGAAATGGGAGTTAACAGAATGATCTTCGTGGCATGATTGTGGGGCCTGTAGTTACATTAGAACACAGAAAGAGGGAGCTTTCTGTCCCCTGGACACTGAGCTGTCATGTTTTGAAGCTGCTCATATCTTGGCACATGGAGGAGACAGTCACTCCGGGACTCAAAGGTGGGAAGCAAGTTACTATGACCCAAGGGCAGTGTTTTCCACTTGGAGGAACAAAGGCCGAGGGCTCTGTGGAAATTTCCTGCACAAGCATTAGTAACCTGAATGGCAGCGTGCAGGCACTCTGGTCAGACACGCCAGGGATCTTTCCTACAAGGCGGTGGGAGCACCGACGAGGTTGCTGTGCTAGGGAATGTTACAGGACCCCTCTCTGGCTTGTGCAGCCCTGATTAAAGGGAGGGAAAGGAAGTTGTGTGGCTGCTGAGGCCCCTTCCAGGTGGCAAGGCTGACTCCCCGGTTCTGATGATGTGCTGGGGTGGGCAGGCCCCTGAGGGTTGTGCAGCCTTGCAGCAGAATCCAGAGCGGGCGTTCCGGCCAGGGCTGCTAGCAGGTGGCCTGCTCTTCCGTCCTTCCTGCTGGCAGCCGGCCTGCCCAGAGCCTGGAGGCCAGAGAACACCTGCCGTGGCCTCTGTAACAGAGGACAAGGAAAGCAATGCCCAAGGGAAAGGAGGCTCTCCTCTGCAGAGTTCTACTGTAGACACGAGCAGCTTGCTCAGTTTAGAGTCACTTCCAAAGAGGACTCATCCCCAGGCTGCAGACTCAAAGTGCCTCTTTCACCAGGGACATGGAAGTTAACTTACAGAGGGGATAAGGAGAGAAAACCGACTGATTCAAACGGAAGATACAACAAAAGGAGGGTTGAAAGTATTTTTCCTTAATGCCATCCCTCTTCTACACCTTCATTTTCTAAGATACCATCTTTTTAAGGAAGGAAATCTTGTGCAGTGTTAAACAGACATGGGGTTCTAGATCAGAAAAATACATTTGGGCGTCTGCAGCACAGGTCTGAGAGGGCTCTAGATGCTAAAAAGGCAGCAGGGCCTGATTTTCAGTCTCAATGATGATTCTCTGTGACAAACAGGGAGACATGGTCTCTGATAATGACTGGCACGCAACAGCTTTGGACTTCAAGGCATCACACGGTGCCCAGGCTGAGTCCTGGCCTGGTGGCCGGAGGTCTGGGTCCTCCCTGCTAGCAGAGGTGTGTTGGGATGACAGGCGGACAGAGTTTGGAGCACACGAACGGATCCTCCCATGCTGACCCTGAGTGGAAAAGGAGGCAGGAGGGGTGGGCTGCTGCCTCTGGCTGGCGCTCTCCGAGACGGGCTGCACACTGGCTTGTCCCGAAGAGTGAATACAGGCCTTTGGGTTCTCCCAGGCTCTCTGGCATCCCAACAACTCAATGAGTCCTGGAAGTTCTTTGCCAACAAGTGATAGCATCAGTTATGGAATTTCTTCACTGCCTCCTGAAGGTTGGTGTAAAACTTGGCCATGCTGCGGGGGAAGAAGGAGTCCACCACGTTCTGCGGCAGGTAACCACTGAGGTCGGTCTGGAAGAAGGTGACCAGGTTGGTCTTGTTGGGCTCCCTGTGAAAGCAATGGAAGAGCTATGTTATGTGTCTGCAGCAGAGACACTGGGACAAGCACCAGGACAGGCGAGGAGAGCCCGGCCCAGGAGAAATGGCCATTACACTGTGATTGCACCAAGTCCCTGGCTGGGGTCACCCCCCAGGGGTCTTTTCTGGACAGGCGTATTTTCAGAAGGGAAACCTGTCCTTCATGGATGCAGTCCACAGCCCCTGCAGGCCTCCAGGCAGGGAGGAGTCCCTACTTCCAGGCCAAGAAGGCACGTCCCTGTTCCCGGATTTACTCAGCAACCACTTTAGGAGAACTCACTCTGGTTGGGCCCTGGGAGGGACAAAAACAGATGCTGTCCTCCACCTATTTAGGGCAGTAGTTCTCAGAACAGTCTGGGAACTCTTGGAGGTTCCTGAGACCCTTTTGAGGCATCTTCAAGGTCAATGCTATTTTCATAACAACAACAAGATGCGATTGTCCCTTCTCACTTCTGCTCTCATGGACATATGGGGTTTTCGAGAGGCTACGCAATGTGTGATACCGCAACAGACTGAACGTGGCAGCAGACAGGAGCCTCTATTAAGCCTGACATTGAAGAGATTCACAAACGTGTAAAACAATGCCACTCTTTTTCACCAACTTTTTTGTTTTAAAAAATACAAGGGCACTTCAAAAAGTTCATGGAAAGAAAGAATTGAGAAAGATAATATGAATCTTTCCATGAATTTTTTGGATGGTCCTCATATAGTTATTTCTCATAAACAATGTGTTATGTTAGCATGTAATACATTTATTAGTATCATGTTAAAATATTTTTAAAATTTCCCACTTCTAGTTGCAAATACATTAACTAATGATAGATATAACCCACATGAACAAAAGCCCTTTGAGGTCCTCAGCTGTATTTGGGGTATAATGGAGACTTAGACTAAAAAATTTAAGAACTGCTGTTTAGATTACTGACAAGTAACTTGGGTATGTGTGAAGGGACTTTGCCCAGGGGACTCAGAAGTCCAGAGGGAAGGAGGGGCGGGGTCCATGGCATGGACCCTGGGCTGGAAGTCTGAAGGCAGCACGTCCTGCCACTGACCTGCTATGTGACTTAAGCAATTCAGTTGCCTCCCTGGGCTGTAAACATGATGATCTGATGCTCAGGGCAATAAGGAGGTGAAACCACCAGCCAGAATCAGATTCAGCAAGGAGCACACATAACAGAGGAGGGGACACAACTGGGTAGGGATACAGAGGGGACCTCACTGTCACAAACTTCTCAATGGCCAGAACAACAAAGGCAGGGACTTTGCGGAGACCATTTATCACTATATTTGAACGAAGCTTCAACAGCTCAGAGCCTCATCAGGAACGCCAGGTAGCACTGCACCTGCCCATCAGATAGTTCCCGACGTCACACAGGTGAAGGACTTGAAATCAGAGTCTCTTTAGAACCCTGCTCCCCCAGCTGTGCAGACAGGGCAACTGAGGCCCAGAGAGGGGGAGGAGTCAGCAGAGGATCAATGAGGGGTAGCGTGTGCTACTCTGTGCTGTGACTCTTCTCCTCTGCTCACGCTCTGCTTCTCTGGAGGGTGCACTGCAGCGGGCAGGGATTTCCTTAGGTTTCAAAGCCGCGGCATCGTCTGGACACCTCCTTCCTCACTCAGCACCCCACGCCAGTTCCACCTTTTCTGGGGCCAGCTGTCTTCCCTCTACTCCTCCCATGGGGCTGACTTGGGCCCTTGTCCTCACTCAGCAGTGTCCTCCTTGGTTTGGAAACGAGCAGGTAAGTGAGAAATGTGACTCAGTGGCCAAGTTCCCCTCCAGGTGAGCACTGGGCTTTGTGGGAGGCAAAACACACGAGGGGCCACATGGGAAGGCAAACTCGTCACGTTATGGAGCAGCAGTGTCAGCAGTGGCTCTTGCACATACACCATCAAGTGACATCAACAGAACAGGCAGAATGGGGCTCAGAGGAGTTGATGGTCAGCCACATGGGAAGGCAAACTCGTCACGTTATGGAGCAGCAGTGTCAGCAGTGGCTCTTGCACGTACACCATCAAGTGACATCAACAGAACAGGCAGAATGGGGCTCAGAGGAGTTGATGGTCACCAGTCTCCTCACAGAGAAGGCCGGGACACCAGCATCCACTATGCTAGCCTTGAGGATTTAACGCGAGGGCACGTGGGGAGCACTCAGCATACTCTGTGGGCACGGAGTGAGCGCGCTGTAAGTGATGTCACATTGCCACCACCACAAACACCTCTCCTCCACACTCAGCCTCTCCCAGCTCAGTCACCTCCATCTCTGGCGCAGACCTGGCCTCACCTATTGCGCACCTGGCTGTCACTCAGGGCCTCTTCCACTCTAGATGCCTGCTTAAAACTCTCCGATGGCTTCCCATTTTATCCAGAGGAAAGTCCCCAACAGGGTGTGGCCCCTGCTACCTCACTGACCAAATTTCATAGCCTGTCCCCTTGCTGTCACTCTGACCCAGCACAATGGCCTCCCTCCGCGCTGTTCCCTTGATGCCCACACCTGCTCCTGCCTCCAGGACTTTGCACCTGCTCACCCCTCCGCCAGGAACGCTTCTCCCACTGACATGCCCAAGGCTCCCTGTGTTTGTGTTTTGCTCAAATGCCATATCAGGGAGACCCCTAGATGACCCACTCTCACTCTTCCTCAGCATATTTACCTGGCTTTAGTTTTCTCCGAGGCTCTTAACATCTGGTAATCAGTAGTGTGTACATCTGATAGAATTACCTGCGTTTGTGTTTTGTCTGTCTCCCCTGCCCCGCTAGGCTCTTAGCTGCAAAAGGGCAGACACTCTGTTTCAAGAGGTCGATATCTGGGTGAAGTGTGCAGATTTTGGAGCCAGCTGGGTTTAAACTGTGGCTCTATCACTTCCTGGCTGTGTGATCTTGGGTAAGTTACTTACCTCTCTGTGCCCCAGTGTCCTTATCTAAAAATGAGGATATTAACAGTGCCTTAGGGCTGGTGTAAGAATAAAAATGAGTTAATTTACATAAAATGCTTAGCATAGTACCTGATACATGCTAGTGCTTTATACGTGTTTGCTGCTGCTGTTATTAGAACACTGAATCCATAGTATCTAGAACACACCTATGTTCATAGAATGATAAGGGAATAATCATTGCCTCAGGTTTCAAACCCACAGCCTCAGGAGAACAACCGTGCGCGTGGCAGACTCCAGCAGAAAGCTTTACTGAGAAGATAAAATGTTTCTAGTCAATTGGATAGGAGCTGGGAGAGTCAATGCTTGAGTTACAACCTCCACACTAGCTGGGTTTTATGGAACCCCAACCACCCCACCTGCAAAATCCCTGCAGTCACTTTTGCTACCTGGCATGAAGCAGGATAGTACTTGTCATATAGTGCATTTTGCCTGAAAAAAGACAGCCATGGGATTCAGCCCCTAAGGAGAAATGGCTCTGCCTCTTAGTGTGTGTGTGTGTTGGAGCACAGCTATGCTATTTTCAAACTCAAAATTTTGTTACATTTAAGAAAAGTCTTTTATGTGATTTTTGAAAAGCCAGCTTAGCCAAGAACGTTACATGGAGGTACTGCGACTGGGCTTTCAATAAAACCTGCAGCACCAAGGCCTGCCTCCTGGGTCTGCATGGTGACAGCGCAAACTCTTCCCCTCCTGCTGTCTGTAGGGGCTGCAGGGATCACCAGGACACACCTGCAGGTACAAATTCTTGCACTGTCAACTGGGTGGTTCCCAGAATAAACTAGTGACCTTCAGGTAATTCATTATACAGGAGGCTCCTGGCAAAAACCTGGCCATGGCCTGTGGGAAAACGAGGACAGAGGTTTCCTGAGCTCAATTCTGAGGCTGACTCACAGTGTGGTCTCAGAATTGCCCTTAGCCCCTGAGCTCCTTCCTGTTCCTTGCTGAGGAGAGACAATCACTATGTGGAATGTGGGGTGGGGACAGCTATTCTTGAGGCCACTCCAGGCACATGGGTGGTGCTCAGAGATCACGGAAGAAAAGACTTGGAGCTCAGACCCTGCACTGCCAACATCCTAGCCTTTGGCCCTGGACACATCACTTAACCTCCCAGAACCTCAGTTTGCTCATCTGCTAAATAGGAGCATGACATTTACCTAACCTGCCTTACGTTATTATTCTTGATGTGGAAAATCCTGGAGGGAGGATTTCCCGCATCAAAACTAATAAGAATAACGCCTCCCACAACTCTTTCCCACGTGTCTTTTCCATATTATGTCACAGATGTGTATATGACAGTGTTTTGTAACATCAAGGCCTAAAGAGCTGTAAGGCATTTTATTACTGTGAATCACAGTCAAAGTGCCCATTTTCACAGAACGTCCACACTGAAGCCACAGTTAGGACTGAGACATGTACTCAGTCCAGGAAATTATCCTTACCCTGGCAGAGGTTCACAGAAGCAGCCGCAAGGATGGTTAAATCCTCTCACAAAACCTGGCTTCGGGGGGCATAATGGATGTTCCACATGGGTAGCTGGAAGACAGTGCAGGCGGTCAGTGAGCTACAACTTCAAACAGTCGGGCCACCACCACAGAAGTGCCACAGAGCATGCAGACCCAGGTGCACACTCACACAGGCACATACGCACATGCGCATGCACACACATGCACACATACTCGCATGCACACTCATGCATGCATGCACTCACTCATACACATTCATGCACACACTCCTGCACACAGCTTCCCCAAGCCTGCCAGAGTATTAGAGGAGAGAACATTCCAGAATGCAGGTTCAGGGGTGGGAGGAGGAAGGTGCCCCTCTCAAATCTCAGCCAACACTGGTGTGGATGTGTCTAGCATTTCCCCCACATGGAAGGTGAACAGGAATGACAGGGGCTGTGTGGTGGCAGGAGCTCTGTGGCTTGCTAGGCAGGAGGGGAGTGGAAAGTGTCCTTACCCCATGGCTTCAGTGAACCACTGCACACTGAGGTTTTCTGTGATGTGCAACTGTAACCCACACAAGTACCGCATGGGCCTCAGCAGGAAGAAAAAGGGGTGGTCACAAAATCTGACTTAAAAATAAAATTGCTGGCACGCTCTCCCATCTCAGACCCTCACGGCACAGAATCCCCCCAAATATGAAGAGATGAGGACGCAAAGAGAAAAGGACCCAGAGTGTGAGTTCTCTGGTGATTTCCAGCTGCTCATCTTCCCCCAAGAAACTGAGTGGTGTTGAGGAGAGAGTCCAGAGTGCCAGAAAGGACTGGCAGGCCCCCGGCCATCACTCACCATTGGAACTGATGGTCCCATCCTCATATCTCTTGACTAGCACCAAGTCCACAAAATCTCTGGGAGAAATGAGCCTCATGGCAGCTGAGGGGGTAGAGGTTCTGCTTACGCACAGTGTCTGCCAAAGCAAAGGGGGGCCCAGCTATGTTTGATGTCCAGACATCTTCTCCCCGCCCCACCCCACCCTAGAGGGTCTGGGAAACGGGACTGGCATTGACAGTGGCATTGGCACTGTGAACTGAAGGGTCCAGAGCAAGGCTTCCCTAGAAGTGCCAGGTGTCACTGAAATATACCCAGCTTGTAAAATCTAGGGCTGTGACACAGGCTGCCCATGGCTGTGAAGTTCCCGACCGGGCCATGCTGAGGTTATGTCTCACAAAAGATCCTAAGAGTAAGAGCCTGGCCGGACAAATCTCTCAGGTTTCCCTTGTAACCCTGAGAAATAGGTATCATTAGCCCATTTGACAGGTGAGGACACTGAGGCTTGGAGAGATTGAGAAATTTAGCACAATGCTCATGGTGGAGATGGGATTTAAACAGGGCCAGGATCAGGGAGAGATAAGAGGCCATTCCTTTCTAAGGTGGACCCTGCACTTGATCAGCTTCCTCAAACGCTGTGTCCCGGGGAAGCTCTCTGGTTTCACCCTAGTCCAGGCCCTGGGAGGGAGCACCTTGACCCTCACCCAATCTCAGAATATCCCAGCAGTCCACTCTCCCACTTTTTAAACCAAGACACCCCAAACCCGCCCTGTGCTTTATTGCACTAGCCCCATCCTGCAGGACAGCAGGGCCCAGGCTCTCTTACGGTCACAATGGAAAAGTACAGGCCAGGCCTGTGGATGAACAGTCCTGGGGACAGTTTGGGGGAAGGCAAGAGGGGACTGACAAAAGTCTCTCCCTCTTTGTCTTCCCCCTCTGGTATTAAGAATTGGAATGCCACGTGTTGCTGAGAAACCTTTCAGCAGGGACACCTTTAGCCTCAGGGAATTAGTCTTCAAGAGGACTTGCAATTCCTGGAGGCACTTGGCCCTTTCCATGGGCGCACTGGGGATCAATTTCCAGATGGCTCCTCCTAAAGTGTCTTCCTTCCTAAAATGACCTGCCTGGGAGCAGGCTGCACCTGCATGCTGGGTCTCCTTTCTCACTTGAAAAAAAACATAGCATACCCCGACCCACCCAGAATTGTCCCATGGTGTAAAATCCCACAGGGTGCCAAAGGGACAATTCGGAATGCTGATTGCAATATTTAATCAAGGCACTCTCTACACACTGGTATTAGAATTTCATGTTTTCCCCTTTCTTAGAAAGAAAGCAGTTTTGCCATTTCTGAATTCTGATATCTTGTAGTAGGAATGGCAGAAATGGTAAAAAAAAAAAAATTTTTTTTTAAATAGCCATACTGCTTCCATCCCTGATAATTGCATCGTTCCTGAGGGATAGTGTCTGGAGGCTGAAATGAAGGGCATTGGTGAGAAATACTGAAGGTGGCAGCATGTGTCACAATTGCAAAACAGGCATGGCATGCTTCTGTGTCCCGCCCTCCTATGAATCTGTCCATCCATTTATCTATCACTTTCCTACTTCACAATTAGAATATTTCAGATTTGTCAAAATCATGCTGAGAAATGCCAATCTGCAAAAGAAGGGCCCTTTCTCCGCCTTTTCACTGTTTCGCTAAATGATCAAGAGCTGCCACTCTTCGGTCGCTTCACTGCTTTTTTGTAAGCCTGAGCTCTCCAGCAGCCTGTGCTTTCCCTCCTTTTTGCAGTTAATGTCTATCAAAGGCTGTATCTTTCTAGCAGGAAGTCCTATCTTTTCATGGACACATTAATTCATTAGGAAAAAGAGCTCCTATTCATCTCATACAGAGATGCAAAATATTTTACTTTTTGTGTTTAACAGCTGTAAAATCAAAATTTGCAATATAATCATGTTATTTTAATAAATTACAATCATATCTCAATCCACTTTTTTTTTTTAACAATTAGAGCCTAATGGTCACAGGAAATACATGATTTTTAAAAAAATAATTTCAATTTATATGCATATTTATGATACAAGATGACTTTTAAGAATAAGGAAGTATTATATTTGGATAAAATTCAGTGGGCCACATGAAATGGAAATCTGAGTTCAAGGAAAAAAATTATATATAATTTCTGACTATTTAAAAAACTTTGTTCATGTATTTTTTAAATGACAGTAAATACAAATCCATACGTTATTTAGATGCACTGAAACAATGATGTCATTGCTTTGTTCAAAATTGACAGATTTATTCCATGTCAAAAATGACATACTTTGGGGCCGGCCCGGTGGCGCACTGGATAGTGCGCTGCTTGGGAAACACAGCGGTGCTCCCGCTGAGGGTTCGGATCCCACATACAGACCGGTTCCTGCTCACTGGCTGAGCGAGGCACGGGAGCAACACCGAGGGTTGCGATCCCATTGCCGGTCCCCGGTCCGGTACGGGGGCAACACTGAGGGTTGCGATCCGTTGCCGGACACGGAAAAAGACAAAAAGGCAAAAAAAAAAAAAAATGACATACTTTGCAACCTATGAAAATTTTGCTGTCAACTAAATGTTAGACATCAACTAGTTATGTGGGGATGACGCAAAATTTCTCAAAAATCTGTTGGAGGTATGCCAAGTCTGAAGACCCTTATACCAGAGGACGAACTGGGGTCAGACGGGCTATAGGGGGTTGCTTTGGGCTGATACTGGCCCAGTCTTCAGGGAATTGGGTGCCAGGGATTGAAGGTCCCGTGTGGCCTGGTGTAGGAGCCCCACACAGGGGAACAGGTATGCTCCCCCCAGGGACAAACCAGGGTACCCAGAAGAGAAGGAGGACCTTGCCAGCATCACCCACCCAGCCCCACTGGCAAGCTGACTGAGAGGGCCAGAGCAACGTGCGCTGATGTAGAATGCAGCACAGGTGACACCCAGCGATCCGTGGCCCTGGCAACCTGGGGAAAGTGGTAATGAGAAAAACATCGTGAGCCTCTGAGGGATCAGGTCACTGGGACCCAGAACTGGAGCTAGGTGAAGGCAGGGGGTTAGAAAGAGGTTCTGTGGCTCCTCTGGGAGGTGGCACCTGGTGGTGGGAGTCCGGAGATCTGGAGTCACCAGCCAGCTCTTAACTCCCGCTCTGCCCCTTGATAGCTGTGTGAACTTGAGTACATCCCTTCACCTGTCAAACTTTTCCCTTCCCCCACTGTCTCAGGTGAAGTGCTCTGCACTTGCAGCACAGTATAAACGACTCAACCGACAGCACTTGTCACTTATCATTATTACAGCAGCTCAGGTGTCACCCTATAACTTCCTAGGCCTTTCATTCTCTCTCATGTCCCACCAGTCGCTTATCGAGACAAAGAAGTGCAAACAGGCTAAAAAGACGCAGCCACTTTTACCTTCAAGAAGTCCTTGCGTTATTAGATGTGTATTATGCTTTAAAGAGTACTAACCTGTGTTTCCTCAACTTCAATCATTTGTGCATAATTATTTGCATACTATTGCTTTTTTTTTTTTTGCTATCTCTGGTATCACCTATCCTATTATTCAATTAATATTTTTCTTTAAATGTTCTCACTTTTTAAAAGTTAGCTAAGTTGGTTTTAAAATGAAGCTATTTAACTATTGGAAATGGAAAGAATTATCACTTGTCATAAATTAAAGGTGACTGCAAAATACATACACAAGGAATTATTAGATTCTAACTCTGAGCCTGAGGCCAGCCGTCTATGTTGTTACAAAGGAGACAAGCAAGTGTTAAACAGGTGTCAAATGCACATTAGCAGCTAATCGAGACTCTCCTCTTCAAGTTATCAGAGAGATTAAAGAATTGAAACAGGGCAACCTTCTTACTAAGTGACTCAATTTCAGCCTTGACTTATAAGGACCTAAAATCACCTTGTGTGCCCCAGGAATATGTGCTCCACCCTTCAGGAAACACTAACATAAACTCCTGTGATAATGAACTGAAATGTGAATTCTTGGCCAAGGCTGAGAACACCTGGCTCCTACAGAACCACTGCCTGAGGTTGTACCATCTGTGTAAACACCTAAGAGGATGCCAGTCCACAGATGTCAAAATCAAGACACCATTCAAATTGAAGAGGTCAATGTTTCCCCAAAGCAACTTCCTTATTACTTTCGGCTATGAGATTTTATTCTGAACTTTTGTATCAAAAGGAGTTGGGATATTAAAGCTCAAAAGACCCCCAGGCAGGCTCATTTAAAATGGTAGCTACTAACTCCACGTAGCTATTTAAATTTACGTTTCGATTAAATAAAATTAAATAAGATTAACAATTCATTTCCTTAACCTAGGAACCTTCAAATGCTCTGTGGCCACAGAAGGCTAGTGGCTACCATATTGAACAACACAGTTATAGAACATTTCCATCACTTGCAGAAAGCTCTACCAGACAGCACCCGTCTGGACGACACACATTTTACTCATGGAGAAACTGTAATCCAGAAGCTGCCACTTGGCACTGCCCCAAGGCGGGCAGAGAATCCTGACTCCTCTGCCAGGGCACTCTCAATTCATTATCATGGCTCTGTCAAGGGGCAACACTTCAAATTAGAGCTGATGGGCCAAATCCAGGTCCCCCCTTAGATCCTTGGAGCCCAGGTTCACTCTGCACTTCTTCATCAGCTGCTGCTATACTCTCTCGGCAATCTGCCTCTCTGAGTACCTGTAACCCGGCCAAGCCTGGGCTCCAGTGTTGCAAGCAGTGGGCAGCCTGTGTTTGCAGGGCACCTCCCCCTTGCCAAAGGTGTCACGTCACGGACCCCAGAGGGGATGGGGTCAGGTTACTGTAGCAGGGCCCAGACACTGCCTAGGGATAACACGCTTGGAAAAACTTACATCAGTGATGCTTTGGATAATTTCAAAGCTGGTCACATTCTCATCCCACTTCTCTCGCAGGCCCCCAGCAGCTGGCTTTACACAGTCCCACACTTCCTCCGGTGTGCCACAGACAATGCCTTCTCCTCGGTACCTGGAGTACAAGAAGGAATTTGACCCCAAGGCATCACACTTGTTTATCTTGGGATTATATCTAAGGATTAGAGGGTGGACCATGCCATGTCTGTCATCACTCTTTAGGACAGGCTTGCAGAGAAAGGGCTGAAATTTACTAGCCCACCTCCCCTCAGGCCTGCAGAAATGGACAGTAAGCTTTGCAAGAATACAGTTTGCTGGAAATGTTTTAATTAAAAACAGAAGTTAATGCTTTTCTGGAAGATAATTGGCGAGTTGATCACAGGCTGTTAGGGTTGATTGGAATCTTTTAGGAAGCAAACCCATAGAGACATCAGGAAGGGTGCGGCATCTCTGACAAGCTTTGAACAACGCGTGCACTTACAGGTTCCCTGGAAACTCCACAGATGGCCTCCAGGAAACTGAAACTCCATTCTGTCAAAAGGCATAGAATCGGAGAATTTTAGAGCTAGAAGGGCTCTGGGAGATCACCTGACCCATCACTCAAATCCCTGTTCTAAGGAAGAGGCGTCAGAGACCTCAGGAGATGTGAATCTCCACAGTCACCCAACCTATAAGGCCGAGCTGGGACTAGTCCTGGACAAAGCTGCCCCAGCAGCAGCATGAGCTGTGGTGGTTTTTAAATCACCCTAAATGACACCATGCACTTTGTTTCCTTGAGCAATTCAGGGCTATTTGTTAACAATCAGAAGTGTCATGCCACCCTCTGGGAAAGAGAGAGGGGCTCACGCTATGAGTAAAGGCTTTGGAGCCTGGTGTTTCGGGTTCCAATCCTAACCATCATTTATCAGCCAGGTGACCTTGGGACAGTCCCTCAATGAAAGGAACAGATACTTACCTCCTGGGGGCATTGTGAGCACAACAGGCCCAATACTTTTAAAGGAAACAACCCCCGATGGAATCCCTCTCAATCCAGCTCCGGGGGATTGGGGTGCAGAAAACAGCGGGGAGAGGAGGAGCCTGGGGTCTTCTGGGACCCGGAGCCCAGGAAGCAAAGTCTCCGCGACCCCTTCCCGCCCACCTCCTCACTCACGCCTTCCCGGCAGATCTTCCAGCATGACGTGTCCCGCCGGTACTGGAGCACCTTGTCGGCCACCGCCTCGCTGATCTGAGCAGCCAGCGCCGGATCCATGGCGCCGGGACCGCGCGTGGCTGTGGGGTCGCCCGCGAGCTGTGCGGTGGCTGGTCGAACCAAGTCAAGATA